ATCACTTTATTGTCAACGATATTCTGGCTCAAGTACCTCGCACTCTCAGGGTTTAGATCGTTAGCAAGTACCGCACACCCTTTCTTGGCAGCAGGAATTGCGAAAGGACCCACGCCAGCAAATACATCTGCAATGACGTCGGTTGGTCGGAAGAGTTGGACAAGCCGATCGTGCTCTGTATGAAGCCGTGAATTCCAATAAACATGAGTGAAGTCAAAAGTGAATCGGCAATTGGACTCGTGCTAGGGTTTTTCTTAGCTGATCGTTCCATAGAAAGATTTGACTTACGTGCTCAACGACATAATTAGGTTCTCCAGCGAGCAGTTCCATCTTGAAGAATCGGTACTTTGTATCAATACTGTCTAATTTATTGACGACTGTTTTGATCATAGGATTTTTCTGTGGTGAATGACATCAGCGGAAGTTCAGAATTCGAGGAATCAAGACTTTCATCCAGAACGATCTGACCAATGATATGTTTATAGGGTAGATATTCTTTATTGAGGTTCATGTGAGCTGAATGGCCTAGTATCAGTGGCAATCAAACGCGAATGTCATCACGCTCACCGAGATGGCCAGTAATTGCGAACCCTGATGGGGAACCCTTGCAGAGCTCCTCGGGCAATATGGAATGTAAGATCTCATCTAGACATAGATAAATATCATTGACATGAGGAATCACGCAGCTCGTACCAGCCGTCCAGTAGTCGTAAGTCAACTCTAGATTGTGCACCACCAGCGTAGCAGACTGTTCCTGCAAGAAGTTGCGAACCTCTGGCGAGAGGGCATCTGGCTTACGGATGGGGTATCAGAAAAGCGTGCGTTATTCGATCAAAAAAAGCTACACGGTACCATCCTCAGACACATTCAGCAATACTAGCCTCTCGAGGTCATCGTGGGGGTCCCGAAGAACGCTGCGTACTTTTGGCAAATTCATGAGGGATCTTCGAAGTATATTAGATATGATCTCTGGACAGCCGAAAACACGTACTTCTTCATGATATCAGACTTTAGCAGAGACCCGGTTTTAGAAGCAGAAACCTTGGCGGCAAGGATAGGGATAGTCTTTTTGAAAGCATCCCTTTGAAGAGCTGTGTCCATCCAACGATGTACCGGAGGTGATACATCGAGCGTCGGTGTGCACGCCATGAATTTAGAGAAGAAAGATAATCCAGGGTATTTCCTCAAAGTTGTACTTAGACATGATTGAAGTCCAAGCATGGAAGTTGTTTGTGCATGTCGATCACCCCGCTTGATCACACCGAACCAATACACTTGAGCCTGTCGGAACCGAGCTGGAGTGACGCTGAGCGCTGAGCTATCGACATGTGTTACGAGCACGAAATTTCTGATACTATTTCTCATCGGGACACCCTTCCTCCCCCATCAGTCCTGCGACATGTCGTCGATGTACATTGTCATCCCACCGACTCAGAGATTCCAGTAAAGTCAATGGACAACTTGCCCATCATCATCGGTGCCATGTCCACTTTTCAGGCGGATCAAGGATTAGTGCGAGACTTGGCTACTGCATTCCCAGACAAAGTTGTGCCTTCCTTTGGTTAGCTTTGAATCGGTCAATCAACACTGATACCGAAGAACCGCTGATGTTGATGCTAGGTTACCATCCGTGGTTCACGCATTGGATCGCATTGGCACCGTACGAATCAAAGGAAAATCATTATAGGCGCATATTCAAGGATGCAGACGAACACCTGGAGGCCTTTCAAAAGTTGCTGGTTCATCTACCTGAACCAGTGACCCTGCGAACCGTTCTGGAAGACGTTCGTCAGAATTTGATAGCTTTTCCAAGCGCAATGCTCGGAGAAGTTGGTATTGACAGAGCTTTTCGGGTGCCTTACGACTACTTCTCGTCGCCTGGAGAATTGACGCCTTTCACCGTACCCTTTGAGCATCAATTAACTATCCTTGAAGCACAGCTTGATCTAGCAGCAGAGCTAGGCCGAAACATCAGCATGCACAGCGTTAAATCGCAAATGGCTACCGTGGAACTCTTAGACCGCATGGCTGATAAGCATGGCGAGCACTGGATGAAAGTAAGCATTGATATTCACAGCTGCGGCTTTAGCCCGCAAACGTGGCTGTCCATCGAGGTATGCACCTGTGATCTGACCTGACCATTTCATCTGCCTGTGTTGAGCTAAACGGGCTTTTGCAGAAGCGTCATCCAAATGTATTTTTGTCTCTCTCAACGGTTATCAATAGTCGGTCTCCAAATCACCGAGCCCTGATTGCTGCATGTTCTTCACGTCGTATCCTCGTTGAATCGGATTGCCACAAGATCGAAGACTGTACGCAATGCACTTGGGACATGGTGCTTATAGTTGCTGAAGTGAAAGGATGGCCAGTTGAGTCGTCCTGGGAAGAGGTCGTAGACGAAAGCCAGCAGGGAGTTGTCCGACATTTGGAAAACAATTGGAAGGAATTCGTGCAAGGAAATCATGCCGGGCTTAGCAAAATCATCAAACGAACAGCCAGGGAGCGTTAACAAAAAGTGTTCACCGGGTACAATCATAGTGTTGTCCATGGTAACCTGCTCAGACTGGACAACAGTTGACTGGTATGTAACTTCGTTGTATGACTGCCAATGTATGAAATATATAATTTTATTGAACGGTCCATGAATAATGAAAATGGTATCACCGCGACATGTAGCTTATGAGCAGGAGTAAGCACCCTCCAATAAGAATGCCAAGGATAATAGAGTCTCTTCGCCGTCGGCTCTTAATCATGGAAAGGAGATTGTTGATGCCAGGTATCGTACCTGTGCTGATTGTCAGCATGTGTCATTCCGACTACGTAGAATACTGACTTATGACACCAGTCATGCGTGTGTTTATACTAGCCAAAGACATGCTTTGACGCGAGAATTCTGCTCGAGTTTCGTATGCTTGGCTAAGGCATAACGTTCAGAGAGGAATAACGAGTGTGGATGAAACTTACTCAAGAATCTGGTCTGTCATCGAATGGGAGCTGTCGATTCTCCCTCTTTCCGCCAGTAGTGAGTCTGCTGCAGAAGATTTATATGCCCTGTCGCAAGAGAGGATCATCAATGGGAATTCCGCAAATGAATCAGAACTTACTCAATGTCATTTCGAACGCCCGAAAGTAAGTTTACTTTGTCAAGTGCATGCTGAACATTTGTCTATGAAATGTCATGAGAGCAGGGCCTACATAACATTAGAACGGGACAAACCTTTGTCCTGCGAAGCTCCTTGGCATAGTCCTGATAGACTTCACCATGTCTCTGAATTGCGCGGGACATGGATTGTGAGGGCGGGGTGTCCGGGTTATTTGAGAGTGCGAGTAATTCATCATTAGTTTCTCGTAGCTAAACATATGTCCTTGTAAGCTACTTGTATGCGTGCTGGGGTGCTCGTGTATCCCACCTTCTCCAGGAGGTCTTCGACTTCGCCTTCGACGTCTTTCCAGCGTTCGCGCGAGCCTCCTGCCTCGATGTCATCCTGGTTTCTTGTTATTGTTGATGCTAGGCGGGAGTACGACGTAAGCTTTGTGTCAAATAAGGACTCCAGAGTGCGGCACTGCCTGTGCAAAGACTCATAATCTGCCATGACTGATAGTATCGTATTGGTGGTAAGTATCCGAGTCGTTGCAGGCAGCCTTCTCCGGTAGTAACACGTCACCGTCACAACAATGTTTCTTTGTCACAATGTCTGTCACGGTATCTTCTTGTTCTCTGCATCATCTTCGGCAAATAGTGAGTCGTATGAGTACGTCGTACTACTGTGGGATATGTGATGAATGTAGCCGGCCGCCGCCGCCGCGTAGTCTCCGGCAGTGATTTTGAAGCCACATTTGTTCGCGTAAGCCGGCTTGAACATTGCGTCACGGTCTTCTTATCATGATGCGTGTACACTATAACCCGCCCTTAATTATGGTCACCTTGAGGTCTAGCCGGCTGACTGCGTCAGCCCACAGCGCGACAGCGTGTTGCTATGCTATTGCGCAAGCGCTCATGATGACTTGAAGGGGTACTTAAACCCACGTATTACACCAGCAGAAGGCAAGTCATCCAAGACAACCTTTCAACCACTTTCAATCATGAAGCTCGTCTTAACAGGTGTCACTGGTGCTGGTATGTTACCATCTCCATTCAGATGTGAAGTCCCGAACTCAACACATCCTTACTTATCTGTCAGCTGGTATCCAGATCTTTCGTCAAGCAGTATTGGATGCAGCTATCACGAAGATCACGGTGCTCTCTCGTAGAGCACTTCCATCATGGATGGATATAGCCGAAAACGACAAGACAGAAGTCATAGTTCTGAAAGACTTCTTGGATTACCCTAGCGATCTCCCTGCTCGTCTGGCAGGGCATGACGCCTGCATTTGGGCACTGGGAAAGAGTTCAGTAGGCCTGTCAGACGAAGAATATACGCGCATCACATACGACTACACCACGCACTTTGTGAACTCCCTGCAAGAAGCAGGGACGAAGGACAAAACGGGAGAGCCCTTCAGATTCGTTTTTGTTTCAGGAGAGGGCGCAGATCCATCTGGCAAGAGTAATGTCAAGTTTGCGAGAATCAAGGTATGCGCCTGTTGCTTGATACGTCAGTACTCGCAAGCATTGGAATGCTCACGCTGCATCTAGGGCATGACTGAAAAAGCTCTCTTTGATCTCCCTCCGTCCTCCAACATCAATACATCTGTCATGCGGCCTGGCTATTTCTTCCCGTCCAAAGCGTCAGACCGAGAGAACATTCGTTCACGAACAGCAAGATCTACGGATTGCCTCATGACGCCCATCATGAAGACCATCCTACCCTCCATGTATATACCGATTGAGGACCTCGGGCTTTTCGCCGTAGAGGCAGCTAAGGGCCGATGGTCAGATGAGAAGTTATTTCCAAACTCAAGAATGAGGGAGTTGATCAAGGCATCGCGCACTTCAGAGAACCAGCAGTGAACAACACCGGCAATCAGGAGACTGCATACATATCATATCCTACATCATGTATTATTACATAGCTGGAGTTTCCTATAGTACGCGGATATACATAATGATATACATCGAGAACTTCGATTTTTGGGTGTCGTTGGCTGACGTGTATCTTGTTGGTCAACTCAGAAGCCGAACCAACGTCTAGCGGTTTGCTCAGTTGCAAGTCTCTTAGCCTAATTGAGGTTAGCACCGCGCACAAATTTGATGGCTAGTAACCGAAGATTCACCTGCGTCACCATATCTTTGCTTCCTTGTTGTAGGGAATCAATCCGTTGCTCAATGTTTCCCAGCATCTCCCTTTGGTTCTCATTTAGCACTGACATCGGAGAAATGGTCGGATCATGTACGCACCCCCTTTCAGCAAGAGCATCGTTTAGACGGTTGTAGACGCCATCGCGAGCATTCTCCACCGTCTTTATGACACCGGGTCCATAAGCGGCGGTCGTGTCCTGTGATGTTTGCATATGATCCGGCGGCGGTATAGGTCTGTCGGGGCCCGCAACTATATCGACGCTCCAGATCAACAATTAAAGGTGTTCGATTGACTCAACGTACGTAGCGCGTCGAGCTGCTCTCCAGTCATAACGGGTTTCCCATACCGGAACCATGAGCCCAGTAACGAAGGGGGACCAACGGACACTGGCTGTGGGTAAGGGGGAATTTCGCGGTGAAAACTTGTCAGATCAACGATTGGGTGATCATAAACACGACGAGTCTTGAAAAGTGTACCAAATACAATTTGTTCAAGTACGCCTGAATCGTGGCGCATCAAGGCAATGAAATCTCCCGTTTCGTCCACAGACACGACACTGGCGAATAAAAAATCAAGAGCATAGCTAACGCAATTCGGAGTACGTACTTTTCACATACTTTTGCAAGAGAGAAGGTATGCAAGTGTTCAAGGTAAGGTAAAGAGTAAACCATAGCTTCTGGTTTGTCATTAAATGCTACGAGCACGTGAGAATCTGGGTGTATTGTTAGCAATAGTTTGCTCTGAGTCAATGAGCTCACTGTTCTTCTCAATCACTTGAACGTGTCCAACTTTGTTTTTCTTGCTATTCCACTCTACTTTGGAAATCTTCTCCCCTGAGATATCAAGCATACAACGAGCACCCTTGGCATTTGCGGTCACCCAGAAGCAACGTGCAGGATTGCTATCTCCAGTTTGGAGAGCAGCGGCAAAACGTGATCGATTGGCATGCCAAGTAGTACCTTTCTGCGAATCGATCACGAATGAACCACCTTGCAGGACATTTGGGAGGCCCTCGATCCTGGTAACATCATGTGCAAAATCATACATCGAAGACTCGGGATCCCGGATGATCTTGAAGACCTGCGTGTTGCCAGACTCATGTATGGCGATCAGCCGCACAGCTAGCTGTGGATCTAATCATGAGATCAGATAGAGTTTTAACACATATATCAGCGCATACCCATGCTGACAGCAGAAACGGTCCACGTCAGGGAGACAACAAGGTCTCTATCTTGATTGCGGACCAGAAGCTTAGACTGCCTTTTCTGACGCTGGGGTCTAAGGAGAGATGGTCCACGCAGATCGATCACTGCGACAGAGCCATCGATATAACCAACACCAATGAAACCTATCTTGCGTTAAGCAACTCATGTAACATTGGGCTCCAAGGAGAGTATACCTATGTCCGATAATGCACAACATGTCAAGGAAACATTACCACGAGGCAGCATCAAGAAGGGATGGTACCTCGTCCCTGGTCGTAAAGCAACATTACGCAGCAGGACAAACTCTGTATTTCTTCTATTTCGATAGGAGGGTCGACTTGCGTTGCGTTCAAACGATATACCAGGAGGTCGCCTGATTTCAGTAGCACGATACACTCCAAGGATTCGGGGGCTACTTGAACAGTGGCGACTTCAGGGGCACTGGAAAGTGGTAGACAGCTGAGATCTATAGTGAGATCATGGATCGCGAAAGGGTAATGCTTCTGAAGAGGAGATGTGCTGGAGCTGATGAGAAGCTGAGGGCTGGCATCGTAGAATCGGACAGTTGAGTCACGATGACAGGTGATAAGGATTCGGCGCGGATGGCTCTGAAGCGCAGTATTAATGACCAATAATTTGGGCAATCAATTGATCAGTACCCTGGAGAGCCTTAGCTCACTGAGTCTTTTATCGTCTATCCATGCAGACCCCCCAACGACAGGTAAATCCGTATCATCAAGCACGGGCTGTTGTCCCACAAGTACATCATACACACCTCGTTGCAGAGTCAAGAGCTGTGCATAAGATACCCCACCAAGCCCACTGTACAATTTTGAAGGAACGTGCATTGGTGGAGGTTCTACTCCGCTAAGTGTCATATCCTCAAGCGTCGTGGGAAGGTCATGTATAACATCGCCGGCTTCCGGCAGCGGAAATATCATTTTCGGAGGCAGGAACTGTCTAGCCTCAACCATCCGTGAACCAGGGGAGGCTGCAGTGAGAAAAAGCAGGGCAACAGGATCCCAGCAACCAGAAAAATGTGGATTAGCCTTTGGAAAGGCGACGAAGTCATAAACAGGCCCTGATGATGGATAATAGGTTGTTTCTAACGGAATTACCGAAAGTCGCATTGCATTTCGGATAGAAGCGTGGAGCCCAGTTTTGGAACCAGATAGGAGCAGGAGGTTCCGGAGAGTCGAGAGCGGGCATTGTGTATACAGTTAAACGGCAAGGGTCGTCAACTCTGTCGCCTCCCAAAAAGACGAGAGCAGTTGCTCCTCCTCGGGGATCTGAGGAGTTCGGGAAACCACACCAAGCGACCCTATAGATCGGCTGACGTTCTGCCAAATTAGTTCCCTTTTCTTCTGAAGAACCCCCATTTTGCAGAAACTTTTCAAGTTCCTCTCCATTTATGACATTAACATCCAATTCTGTGGATGTTCGCACCATCAGAGGCTGATCTTCGTCTTCTACCGCCCAAAAGGCGACACAACCATCTGCATAACCCACTGCAAAGAAATGCCCAGCTGGGTGAATAGCTACAGAAGTAACGGAAGGCCGCCGGTGTGTGAGTACTTCCTTGGAGATTATGAGTCCATGATAGTTTTGTGGTTGGAAAGCTCTGACTCACGGATTGGTGATATCCTCCCCCTCCTGGTGCACCAGCAGGGATTACAAGTTCGTACGCCCGTAGAATGTTGCGTGAAGACTAGAAAGGAAATGAACAGTTAATAGACACGACAGTGACAATGAGTTCAGATACACACCAGGTCGTACAGTACAACCCCCCCTAGAGACTGTTTCAGGCACTTGCACTTGACCATAGAAATGACTGACCACCGAAGGCTACAAACATCAAGTTGAGGTCTCGCGGATGTGCAACTAAATCGACAGGTATGGTGCTAAGGTCCAATGTAAGCACGCCTCGACCGCAACATGCCAGAGTTGTTGGACGGACCAACCAGGCAATGCATGCAAGGGATCTACCACGCTGCTCGCGATCTTGGTCTGAAACATATTCCACAAGTTCGGGATAACATAGGGTGACTTCTTCAAACACAGAAGATCATATGTTCTGATCTCTCCCGATTGCAGGGCAAGAAAGACCTGGAAAGAGCAATCTTAGAAATGTTCAAGAAACTCTTGAGTCTCAGTGCCTACATGGGTATGTGAAGGTGACAACATGACAGCACTTGTGTTCAGACACTGCAGGTCAGCAAACGTCATTATTACAGCGATCGATTGCTTGCGCACTTGATAGCATGGTCAAATCTCGTTGACTTCGGTGGTTCGGTCAAATCTTTTAAGTTCCAGATATGGAGTCGATCGCGCTCATCTAGTGGTATGAAACTTGAGGAATTAAGTGAGGTTGGCGTATTGGCGGTCGGCTTACCGACAGAGAGAAGTCTGTCCGTGGAGGCGGCAAGCTGCAAGATCTTGACGGGAGAACCTTCTGGCGTCTGCACCGAACTCTCTACACCAGGACCGCCCACTACATAAATCAGGCCATCTGCCGTGCCTGGAAACAAAAAGAAAGCAGTACCTAAGTCACAGTTCAAAGATGACTCAAGTTGAAAGATCTCACCAACAGCCAAAAGGCTCAATGTAGGTTCGTAAGTCAGCACTCTTGTGTCCAAGAGATAGTCAACAGTTCGCAGCCTGCCAATCTTCCAGTCATCAGGGTCTCTTTGACCAGTCGAAAGATCTGGAAGAACGTGTTTCTCTCTGAACATGACTGGCGGCGTGTCTTCCTCGGCGTCGGGACACTCAATTAGGCCTTCAAGTTCAAGTCCTATGATCATGAATATCACAATCAACCTGCTCCAAGATTAGCCAGCGGCAGGCGAACCAGGTGGTGCAGTGCAGCGGTGATGACCAGAGACGATGGTGAATGCCGTGATGCTTGCCGGTAAAGTTTGAAGTGCAATTACTACTTCGAGTTTCCAGCGCACAGGTTCAAGTTCCTCGCACCGACTGCGAGAAATATATCTGAAGGATCAAATAATTCTACATGATAGCACTTGGCTAGAGTACTTGTGACCACGTTTCGATGGAGTGTATGGGTACTGACGGACTAGAAATACACAAGTAGGTAAAGGTAGATGCTACAACACTAAGGAACAGAGTCCATCATGACGATCTCGGAATATCTGGCATCTTCTCAAACACATTCCCTCGCGAGGATACAACTCTGCCACCTGGATTATTGGATTGCGGCACTCCGCCTCTGATCTTCCCCAACCAGGTCCGTTTAGACGAAGTTCTAGAGGTTTGAGGGTCAGATGTGGACCGAGGACTGTTCGTCACGTCTGAGATAGTAGTTGTGGCTCGTCTTCCTGGTGAAGGCAGATTGGTTATGCTTCTGGCAGAGCGTATTGGCGTAAATCCGGATCGGCTTGAGTGCAATGTTCTCCGGAGACGTGGCGTAGTGGCCGCCTGCATGTCCGAATCACTCGTATAACGGCCCTCGGGTGGAACAGTGTCCCTGTCATCATGTTCTGGTGCGCGTCTCTTCTTACCCGCAGATGTCGGTACTTCCTCTTCAGGGATTCCAGTTTGCGTCATACCTGACTGCATAGGTTTCCTCTCCGGTGTTTGTGATTGGGATGCTGCTGGGGTGTTTGACATGGCTCGATCTCGTCCCAAGATTGGCTTAGTATCCGTGAATACAGGCACCCGAGGCACAAGAGGGACAACGGGCAGTGGCTGCACTGTTTGCACAGACGATGCAGCGAGGTTGGCCGGTGAGGTTTGCGCGGATTCTTTGGCAGAAGCAAGTTTGGTTTGAAGGTTCTGTACCTTGCGTGTCAGAGATTCCACTTTCGTAGACAATTTCTTGTTCGCCTTCAAAGCTCTGTTATAACGTTAATTTATGTGAGGGAACTGCAAGCGAATTCACTTGCTCCAATATCCGATCGTCATAGTCTTCAATTTCAGCACATTTGCTTTGCAATAGCTGATCCATTTCGCGAGTTCTCTCTTCCAATTCAGCGACGATGTCATGAAGTTTTGGTTCCGAACGGACCGCGTCCAACTCCCACCGGAGGGATGATATTGCCTTCTCGTGTTGTGTTATTTGGAGTGCAAGGTTAAGTTCGGCCGCTTTGCCCGCCTTTTCAGACTGAGCGAGTCGAAGCTGTACCTGTTCGAGGGTCTCCTTGAGGGAGGAATTAGATATTTCACTGTTCATTGCTTGTCAATTTTGCACCTGTGGGGATGGCGAGCCTACTTACCTCTCCCGTACTTGTTGCTCCAGATATCTCGTTAACGACATCGAGCGCTGAATCTCTGCTTCCAAGCTGGTGGTCTCTACTTGTAGCGATTGTTTCTCTGCCAGCAGACTTGATAATTCAGCTTCAGCCTGCTCATTCGCCTGTCGAAGTTCTGTTTCGAGAGCATCAAATTTGACTTGACAATCTGCATGAGAAGAGAGCTGGTCATTGAAAGTTGCTTGATCTTGCTTGCGACTGGCGATCTCATTCTGTAACTGTGTGCGCAGCAAATCCTGCTCCCGGGATCGTTCGTCAAGGCTCATACGGAAGTCTTGAAGATCTCTTTCATTTGCTTCGAGAACAGCAACTTTTTTCACCCGATCGTCCTGCAATTCGCGAATCTGTTGCTCTGCTTGTCGCAGAGCGTCAATGTGAGTTTGCCTTGCTAGTTTGAGTTCGCTAGTTGACTGTTCCACGAGACTTGCAAGATGCTGGCATTCCTCTTTGGCAGCAGCGAGTTCGTTCTGGGTGTTGGAAAGCGTCTTCTGTAGTACATCAAGTTCTTCAACATGTCTGGCACGTAGAGAATCCTCCGTCACGGCTCTTCTCTGTGCATCGTCTGTGAGAGCTGCGATCTGATTCCTCAATTCTCGATTACATTGCTGCACTTCTGCAAAGCGAAGGTCGGCACTTTGTAAAAGCTGCGTAGCTTGTGAGAGCTCTTGGTCCGTGTGCTTGAGGCGCTCTTGTAAGTCCTCGACCTCGACAGCATGACGAGCATGCAGATCTTGTAGCTCGGCGTTACTCTCGCCAGCTTGCGACGCCTGAATGCGTTCCTGAAGGTCGTCCTGAGCTCTACTCAAGGTTTTGCAGGTGATCTGATGGCGGGAGCGAAGTTCATCAAGTTCGTCGTGCAATGACTGCAGCTGTCCTTCATATTCTGAAATGCGACGAGTCGAAGCAACGGCTGACTCGTTGGATATCTCAGCGAAATTTTGCTCAAGAATGGCCAGCTTTGCATCGCGAACTTCTAAAGTGGCGGCTTTGTCTTCGAGTGCGCAGCGGAAAGATGAAAGTTGAGCTTGTAACGCTGCAACCTCTTGACGAGAATTCTCCAAATTGCAGTCGCTGTTGCTCAATTCCTTGCGTACAGTCGCAAGCGAGACCACTAGCTGACCCATTTCGGCATGTTCTTCTGTCCGGAGAGCTCCAAGACAACTCAGTGATGCGACATTCTCTGCCAAGTCTCGAATAAGCCCTTCTTTCTCGCTAGCAAGCACTCCTATATCTTCAGAGAGCTTCGAGTTATGGGCCTCAAGGACAGCTATCTTGGATAACATCTGCGGTTCGTTGATGAGGTGCTGGTCGACCATGCTTTGGGCGTGGCGAGCATTCGACATCGCTTTGGCCACGATGGCTACCATAGAGGATAGCTCACCGTCATGGGTCGCTTTGAGATTGTCGTTCTCCTCCTGTAACTTTTCCACCTCAAGCTCTGCTGCCTCGAGGTTGCTGACGGCTTGGTCGCGGGCATCTCTAGCTTCTGCACAGTCTTCAACCATTGCTTCCTTCTGCGCGGACATCATCTCTAGCTCCGACATCATCTCCGAGATCCGTTCCTCCTGGAGTTTGAGGTTGGTCTCCAGGCGGCGAATATCATGTTGGTGAACGCCGATCTGCTCCGTGCGGCGGTTGACACGACCTTCAAGTTCCTGTATCTGTTCACGAAGCGCGTGAGCTACCCCAGTTGCTGACATGGTTGATAACTGTTGCGCTTGCAGAGCGCTATAGCGGCCATGAGCGCCCGTTAATTCTTCCTGTGCAGCCTCCAAGTCTGTTTGGAGATTTGTGACTTGGAGGCTGAGTGAATTACGTTCGGATTCGATGTTCTCATACGCTCTTGTAAGATCAACTAATTGTTCCTCTGCTTGCTGGAGCGCATCGCGGGTATCCTCGTGAGATGACTCCGCTGCTTGTACTTCGGCAGCCAGAGATTGAACTTTGGCTTCCAGCTCTGTGACCAGTAGGAGCATGTGGTTACGCGACTCTTCCGATACGGTCAACTGCTGGCACGAGACCTCGAACTTGCTTTGAAGGTCTCGTAACATGGCATCTCGCTCTGCGACTAATTGGGAGTGGTCCAGGACTTGGTTTTGCTCAGCAGCATGCAAACGACTGCGTAGGTGATTCACAACGACGCCCAGGGCTGTGATGAAAAGGACAAGACGTTTGTTTCGCCGATTGTAGGCTGAGGCCTCATCCGCCTCCTGTGTGAGCTCGTGGATGCGCTTCTCCAATGTCTGGACTGTGATTCGAGCCTCGGTTGAGGAGAATTCGAGGGTGCGTCGTAAGTCATCTCGCTCGCTTCGTATTCTGTCTACAGCGGCGAGCAATGTTTCGATGTGATTGGCGAGCGTTGCGTCACCGGGGTGAGCAGAAACATTGGCCTTCGTCGAAGGCAATGGAGTCGAGCAATTAGGGTACAGGAAGCTACTGTCGAAGTTGGATTGGATGTCGTCAACATCGATATCCATATGGTCCTGGTCAGTGGCCGTCGAACGCCGCGCTGACTCCTCATTGCTCCGAAGGTCCATAATCTCTTGTTTTAATCCACTAGTTCAATATCAGCAATCTATCGGGCTGGTGGCCAAGCATAGCATACCTCTCAATGACCGTCAGAGCTCTAATACGCTCCTTGCTGTCCTGAAGAAGCCGATCCGTTCTGTCCAGCTCCTGGCGTGTATTGGTACATGCGTCTTGTGCTTCCTCTTTCTCCTTCATCAGGTCTTGCAATCTCTTCTCTGAGCTGGTAAGCTTCTCCGATTCAGCACGTAGCCTTCTTTGCAGCTTATCATACGCTGCCTGTGTGGGTCCACTCTGCTGCTCGCGTAGGAGACTTTCCAATGTCTTTATCTTCACTTCATCTTCGTCGATCCTCTTCATTAACTCTTCCTCCCTCTCCATTGCGTTCCCCGCGCCCTGACTTGATTTCAGCACCTCTAGCTCCTCATTCTTATCCTCGATTACTGATACGAGCTCCGCGATACGGGCCTGCATAGCCTTCTCCACTGAAAATTGCGTATTCTGTGTCTTGACAAGATCTTCCTGAGCTCGAGTGAGTTTCATTTCCATGTCGCGCAAGGTCTTCTCTTTATCCGCCAGGAGAATTTTCATCTCGTTGAGTTCTTGCTCCAATGCTGGCGATCTGAAACTAGACACAGAGGAAGACCGAGGCCTCCCACTTCGCTGCGGCAATCGAGAGTTAGCTGTTGGCTGGGGTTTCGTACTTTCCAACATCCTCTCTAGCTCACGCACGCGAGACTCCATATTTCGCTTCTCTGTCTCCAGTTTAAAAGTCTGAGCCCTGACTGACTCAGACTGGCAAGACATGGTGTCAAGCGTTGCCTCGAGCTCTCGTGCTGCTCGTTCTTCAGCTTTCAGTCTATCCTGCGCAGCAAGAAGTGCAGCTTCTCCATTCCTAGAAGCCATTTTCTCGATCTTGAGTTCGTCTGAGCGCCGCGCCAGATCGCTTTCAAGCCTGAGAGCACGATCAGCCTCGGTGCTGAGCTGTTGAGCTAGGAAGTGAGTGGACTTGGATGATCAAGTAGACGGAAGTCAAAATGACCTTGTACAATGTTTCATTTAACGATGTCTTTAACTCCTCTAGCTCAGCCTCTCTCTTCATAAGGCGGCTTCGTAGGCCTGCATTCTCGGTGTCTGAGCGCAAGTTAGGAAAGATTGTTAGATTACATGCTAAAAACGTACCTTGGCTTGCTAATTTATCTTTGAGAGCTTGCGCCTCTTCAGATACATCGTACTTTCCAATGTCCTTGAGGGACATGATTATTGTGGTCGAACACTACGAAAGTATTCCAGGTGGCATGACCACGGAAAGCACAGAAACCAAACACAGTTCAACAAACCGACGCGTCATGTCACATGATCGTGTTTTAGAAATGGCCTCAACTTCACCGTGATCGGGATTCGGTGGACTCTCAGCCTTCAGGCTGTTCTGACTGTGTCACTGTGCATTTGTCCAACTTACTCCCTTGTGCCCATCGGGGTTAGTAACATACTATCCCATGATCTTGTGATGCGCGAGTTTGTGCCGTCCACACTTCGCAGATTTGCGTGAGTATGTCCATTTCCTATTTTCCCAGCACAATAAATGTTGTTTTGACTTTGCCTGATCTTAATACAAAGGAATGTTTATCTCCCTTCGATAGATGTGGCTAGGGGAAACTTGCGAAGCAAATTTCAGAGGAGGCGCGGAAATTTGACACTGTAAGACCCACTACCGAGCCTCGAGGTAGCGGAAATCTAAGTATCACGTTTCAAAGCAACTTGGGTCTTCATCAATTCCAGCACTTCTTCTGCCGCACCCCAAGATCCCTGGAAACCTGCCGGTCTTGTAAAGGTGTGTTATCAGGGAATGGCATTCAAACTTTCTAGAGAATGGCTTACCCAAAACCATAGGCATGTACAACGAGCATCGACTGTCCGCAGTCATGGCCACTGGCGGGACTCCCATTCCACGGAATAAGATCATGCGTGCTCTGCAAAGGCATCGCGATCCGCTCTAACTCGACTCGTGGTCCTCCTTCTCTTGCAGGCCTTAGGCCAACGTTATGTTTCAGGATTCTCGACTCGGCACTCTTCAAATAAGGAGCCAATGCGGCGCAGCGTTCGAATATTCCTCTCGCAATCTGCATATCTAAAGAGGTGTCCCAATTCCTGGACTGGAATGTCCCACCAAGGATTGCGGTGTCAGATTGACCTTTTCCAGGACGGGGAATGATGTATGTAGCTTCCTCGGCTTTTGGACCGCAGGGCTTTGATGAGGAGCTAATTACCACTGCTCATTCCGAATACGCACCTACTTGGGACTCGACCAACACGCATTCCTGCAGACCTGGTGCATGTACTAGGATCGTTTGTCCGCGAATGGGGTATAGCTTCGTGTCTTCCACTCCGATAATGGATCTGGAACCTTTGGGCTAATATTACGAGAGTGACTTCCGAAAGAAACCCCTTACCAAGTGCAGACGCATTCACCAGAATACCATTAGGCCCCACCAGGCTCCTCAACTCGTCCAAACTCCTCACGTTTCTGCGTTCAAAGGTAACTCCGTAGGAGACCAGCTCTGATTGGAGCCACGGAAGATATTCGGCTGGATTAACTGAAACTGTGTCGAATGCGACTCCAGCTTTGAATGGCTCAGGGACATCAGACGGGGAAAGTATCCTGATCTGCCCTCACAGTGTGGTTCAATCCCCGGTGACCACAGTCATGAGATAAACTACATACATTCCGCGCAAGGTCTTTCCACCACAAGTCTGAAATATCTCGCCCTCGCGTGGTATAAAGCTTCGTGGGTAATAGCTGGGTGGCTCCTTACTCACGACCAAGGACGACTGTAGGGGTTTAGACTCACCTTAACCAACCCTGTTGGGATCATGTCCCATAACTTGTTGCTTAGTTGAGGATCAGCTAACATGCATCTCACAGTAAAAAATCACACATACAAAGTTTTCTCCTCCCACTTCCTCACTCGTTCATCTCTGCCTCCAAGTTCCATGGGAGACCAATTAGCACCCTGGTTGTCATCTAGAAGCTGGCAGACTTATGATATTACGAACAAAACGTACAGCGTACGGACTAGCCCAAGCTTGAGAATCCATGTCTTCAGGAAGTTCCCTAGCGATCACCCTAATATTAAATGAGACATCGTCTGCCAAGGCGGCGAGGTACGCAATCGTTAGCCCAAGTACACCTGCTCCGAGGACGACGAGAGACTGCTCTGCCTTCGTGGAAGACATCGTTGATAGTAGTAGGGGTGCTACCAGACTTTTAGCACCTGACACAACGATGACAAACTCACTAGCCACGACCCTAATCAGCCGACTGATCCGAGTTCGCTATCCAGCCTATACTTTCATTCAGAATCATTGGCATGGGACCCATTGGGCATCCGAGTCTGTTATCCCATTCTCGGTCTCGACGGGCCGGACCCATGATAAGCCAGAGATCTTCCGCTTCGTTTGACTTTACTATGACCAGCATAACTACAACAGCAATTCATTGGATTCAAGTTGCAAAGGCCGAGCAAGAATTACTGCCAGCGTATAAGTGAGAGGGTCAGCTGCGCGAAATCTGGATCCCTGGCACTTACTTGGCTCAACGTGCACTTCCAGCTCTCAGAAAAGGTAAAACTTCTGTCGTGACTGGGACCTCAGGCCTCAGGAAGCAACCGCTATGCATCAGTCCGAGGCGAAAAATTCAATGGCGTTAGCAAGGCAGCTGGAATTGGTGCGTCCGAATCACATCGATAACTCAGATGGGATGGCATGGGAAACATGCGTTTCGCATGGTCTCTGGTACATCCTTACCAGTGACGTTATGAAACAGGGTGAGCCCGGCTCAAATTGAAGCTGAGGGATTCATGGAGAGTAACACAATAGCTAGATGACTCTAGACGACCCAGGTGTCCAGTAAGTACTGTATATTTGTTAACTCGAACGCGACAGGCCCAGATAAATAAAAAGCTAGTACCAGAATAGTGTTGGTAACAAAATTGATATTTATGATTAGCAGACTGCCTGAGCCTGCACGTTCTCCAGTAAAGATAGAACCTCGGATCTTCGGTAGCTTGTGGCTCTGGAACTAAAAGTCAGATCTCGTACGAATCTTGACTCGGAATAGTTATCTCACTCAATTCCATGCACTTGAACCACCGGTATCTCCTGCTGCTCATCTTCTGCATTCTCGATCACGCATGGAGCTAACTCGCCGCTTTGTCTGAGAGGAAGCAAGATCCGTTCGACATTCACACGTGGACTGCCCTCCCTGTCAGGCCCAAGGCCGACAGAGTGCATCACGTTCTTCTTCCCTTCTTTTAGACATGGCTCCAGCGCGGAGCACCGCTCAAACATCACTTTGAAACCGACATATCCAAGGAGATGTTCCTGTTTGTTAGGTTCCATTTAGAAGCGCAACATTCACTTCGATCATTCCAGGGCGAATGATACTAGATGCCATATGTTCCAACAGCCCAGCACTTACGCACAACTGCAAGTCAGGATGGTATGACCGTTGATGTGATTGAACAGACTGTGCTCTACTGAGGCCATTTCCTTCGACTATAATAAATCGTCCCCTGATGGTGAAAAAAGGGCTGTATCTTCTGTTCCGACCGTGGACCTTTGAGTCTGGCTGTCAATGACTATCGAAGGACCACTGGCGTGTGCTCACTGAGAGATGTGCATCAACCAACAGCCCGGTTTTTCAAACTGCTTGCGCATTGATCGCGGCGGAATATTGAATAGTAACCCCGAGTTCTGATCGAGGCCATGGTAGATATTCAAATGGGTTGACGCAGACTATATCATAATCATTTACAATTTGTATGGTGCAAGAATTTGAAAATATGAGAGCAAGCTGAACCAGAATTCCTTCTAGTGTCTAAAGAACGGCAAGAAAAAGACGTACATCGTATACAAGGTCTTTCCATAATATCAACCATCTCTGCAAACACCCTAAAGGGTAATTTCTAGAACCCCCTGTGCGCTGGTCGAGGTGCGTGCGATCAAGATCAACTTGACTAGGCCCAGCGGTACCATTTCCCATAACCTATCACTGAAAAACCTTCTCCGTAAACTTCGCATCATTAGCGAGGTGCCTCTCACAAGGTTATCTGCTCCTATCTTCGCACACGCCCGTCTGTGGCACCCAATGACATTGAAGACCAATTCGCACCCTAGATAAGATTGATGTAAGAAAGGACTTCAAGGATGCTCAAAAGAAACAAACAGCGAATGGACTTGCCCAGGCTTCAGAACCTCAATTCCCAGGAAATGATCGTGATATTAAAAGTCACATCTGGACTATAGGCAACAATGTGAGCGAGGTTACCCCTGCTCCGAGGATGAATAGAGGCACATGAGAATTGGAAGCAGAAGACATGGCAATCTGTAGTGGATGTCGATAATAGAGATAAGGTGGAGACAATAACTCTCGCTTCTGAACTCGGAGTATGAGTGCCCCTCCAAGTGGGGTATAAATAAATGTATCTGCGATGGACGGACAATTCAGATTTGGACGAACGAACTTGGATCGCCAGTATGGGATTTCTGGAAAGGGCTTTGCCTTGCCACGAATATCTACCAAATATCAAGATATTCCTCGATGGTAGATTTAACATCGTCCGAGGGGCATAAATAGCGCATGTTCAGGGGTTACATTCTGACCGGCAGTTAGCCCCATAGTGTCAACTTTCTTAGCTGTACATTCCGCTCCTCTGAGGATCTATGTGCAACAAAAAGCGCGCCCAAACGCGTAGCTGATGATAAATGAGACAAAAGAGAGATGTTCATATGGCGTAATTGCGCACCATCCTGCAATATCGCCCTCCATACATGGCGTCGCAATAAGGCCTGCTGCTTTGAGAGCGACCATGACCTGGCCATATGTCCCGCGGAACAGTGTGTCGCGAGTACGATGAGCAGGAACGTTTGTTGAGACATCCGTCTGCTCCTCGAGCTGAGGAGGGAGTATCCATGCCTGCCTCGACAACTGCGCTAGAAATCGTCTTTTGCAGACGCACAAGTCGGCTGCGGGATGATGCACGCGGATCGTATGGGGGCGTGGCAAATTGTATGTGGAGCCCGTCCACATGGACGCCTTCAGGCTCTTGCTGAGGCACGGGGGGGAGGGGTTTCGGAACGTGGGCGGGTATACAACACCACGTGTCGATTGGGTTGTTAGATGCATTTTGGCTTGTAGAGTAAGGTTTGCGTGTGCTTGGATGAGATTTCTGGTGTTTCCGCTTGAAGAATGAAGGACGCTGACCGCATACCAGGCGCGGAACGAGATAAGGATGTAAGGCGCGAGATGGATGAGCGAGTCTGTAGTGGGGATTCCAGCATGCATTGCGAGATATGACAAAAAGAAGATGTCGAGCTCGTGGCAGATGGGCATGAGTAGGTCAGAGATTGCTCCGAGACAGAAGCAGAATTCTCTGGTGGAGGAAAGCTCGTGAGTGTATCTTCTGAAGGAGATGGGGTTCTACGAGGCGCGAACGATATGTTGTTGAACTCGACCACATATGGGATACCAAACGAAGTCCAATGAATTTGTTGGGGCATTTCGAGATGCCTTACTGAGTTATTCAAGCAAGTATAAAACAGATGAAAACTGGAAGTGGTGAGCGCCCAGTAGTTGTCAACAGTGATAAACTCAGAGGACAGACTGTGAGGCGTAATGATCGATGGAATCAACCTGTTGACCGGGAGTAAGGGAGACACATGTCTGGGTAGTGTCATGCGAGCCTCACTCGAATGCATTTAAAACACGTTGCAGCAGCATTACATCGATGAGAAATTATAGGGGTTTGTGACTGGTGAAAGCTAGTCGGTATCACGAAGAGCTCTAGATCATCAGAGAACCTGTGAGAAGAAGATATTGTCATATATCGTTATATATCGGAATATATAGGAAAGGTTTTCGTCACATTGTAATATAAAGTGATATAAAGCAATATATGACCATGTAAAAGCACCATAATCAGCATAATCCCCAGCAAGAACTCACCGGTTTACTGATGATTGGCATCGAAATCAAGTTCCAATGCCAACTTGGAAGTTTGCGAAATATGTTCACGATTTCGAGATGTCTAGTAATGGCGTCTTGATCAGAGTCAGTTGTGAACGAGCGTTAATTCAAACGCACTTCTAAAAGTTGTGAACCGAAAGTAGAAACGCTGTTGTAGGAACGCGAGGGATAGGTGAGGACCATTATACCGGTCACGGGGCAGCTTCGGGGTCAACTTCCCAAAAGAGGTGGCTTCCCGGGGAGACCTTCTTTGACAAATAGACCGTTTGTCATGACCAATTTCGGTCGACATTACATAATACTAGCTCCTGACCTTGTTGTTACCCAGGTGGGCGCCAACGAACTTCTTGATGACCTTGGTATGCAAGCGTCGACGCCAGCATTCTGTTCTTTCGACATATCCATGTGACCTTTGGAAACACTTGAGAGCAATGTAATGACGTCATGGTCACATGTGATTATTTTGATTAGCGCTGTAGGCTCGGGTGGAGCATGATGACCCGAGTAGTACTCAAGGGGAAGCGGATAGCCTGGTTATACTTCATCCGATTCCAATCGTGATGGCAGACTACTTGCATAGATTCTCAATTTTTCTGCCACGTAGTGGTGCTGCTGACTGTCGATGAAATTGCAACAGAAAGGAGAGTGGGTACCGCGGGTCAGACGAGGGGATATATATAGACTGAGCGATAGAAGAGAGCTTGACCAGTGGCCATTTCCGATCTTGATACGGCCAGTGGCAATTTTACACATCATGACGTCGTTTCTCAACTTTCCTCTTTGGGAAAAACACTCAAAAATTCAAGGTGTATCGTCGAATAAAACCGTGCGCCACCGAGTAGCAACACCTCTTGGCGCTACCACCATTCAAAAAAGATAACAGTCAGTTGACACAAGGAACGTCGTATAAAGGTTGTCCCATCGTTCTTCGTTCGCTCATAACTCCCTTTCTACCACCTCCAAGCTTTCACTGCTCTTCGAAATGAACACTGATTATTTCCCTCCTATGCTTGTTCATCTAGTCGATCATACATCTATGGCTGAGGCAGCACTAGCTACAAATGGAACCAAGCATATCGACAACAGTGATGGCGCAATTGCCCAAGCAAATGGTTCTCCCGCTACCTACAGCGCACCATCCCGCGTCACTCTTCATCTCGGACACTTGCCAAGCAAGAAAGATATAAAGGCTCCATGGCCACGTACACCCTCACGGGTAGGTATAAACATGAGTTGTACCCAAGCAGTCCATCTGATGTGCATCGCGATATCTTCTGCTAGGTCGATCCTAACAACCCGCCATGGCCGGCGTACCGGGGCTATCACGAGTACTCGTTTGCACATGCAACGATGGGCGTCCGTTTACCAACCATCCTTGGCAAAGCTATAGATGACACCTCGCGAACTCTAAATGAACAGTCTGCCGAAGATAAGATTGTCGATCTTGTAGAAAGTTTGGAGAGAATGGACACCCTCATGGCCGATCTCAGTGGAAATGCTAAGCTTAGACCAATCATTGATGACGGTGAAGGTGATGTGGCACTGTGGAATAAAGAAATTGCAAAGTATTTCCAGGGTATCGTGTTCGCCATATATAGCTCGCATCATGGCTGACGATCTACATTTTAGGCAAGGACTTCATGAATGCACCTTGGCTGTTCGCAGAGGCCTATAAGTACCGCCGTCTGCATGAGTGCTTCAGTGTAAGCAAATACTGGAAAGATTATGATGTTTTCTACCGTCAAAAGGTGTGCATCAGACTTGATTAACTTTTCCAGTCTGACAGCGCTTCCAGTGTGACACTTTTTCAAGATCGACGGATGCTGTCTTTGAGCTGTCTATGCGCTTTGCTGAGCCCTTCAAGCAGTCAGAGAACATGTCAGACAAAGAGAAAGCAGAAAACGAGAGACTTATGTTTTTGGAGTTGACTCAAGGTAATGATAAGAGTTTCTCAAGTTTGCCCTGCTAACATGGTATGCAAGTGTGTCTGTGGGGCAATTCGACTGACCTTTCACTCTTGATCAACATGACGGAAGAACAGATCAAATCTCTCCAGTCAACTGGAGGAGACCACCTTGCTGCCACTGAAAAGAATATTTTGGGCAACCATCTAAACCAGCTTTGGGAGACTGTCAAGGTCCTCCGCGAAAAGACTGGTGGACGAATTGACTTCGTGTTGGATAACGCAGGATTTGAATTGTATTGCGATTTTGTGTACGGTGCGTTCAAGAAACAACGCTTGGTGGAGAGATTGACTAATTTTTACCAGCCGATTTCCTCATACAGACTGGTCTGGCTAAGCAGATTCGGTTCCATGGCAAGCGTTATCCATGGTTCGTGTCTGATGTGACGCGGAAAGACTGGGACTGGTTACTAAACACTATGGTATATGGGCATCTATTCCCGAAAGCCTCTGAAGCTGAGCGAGAGTCACTACGGAGACTCGGGGCCCGATGGAAGGTAGGGGTAGTCTGTCGGTGCATGAAGTTTCACTCACATATTTGCATTTGATAGCAATACGAAAAAGATGGTAGATGGCAATATGAGCAGCATCCTTTCTGGTGCACTGGATATACGTTCTGGGACCTTCACAGCGAGGCACCAGACCTCTTCCTCCACCTGTCTCGCTCAGATCTCGTCTACTTCAAAGGCGATCTGAACCACAGGAAGTTGACATATGATTGTGCTGCACCAGCCAGCGTCCCATTCGATATCTCCATTGGACCGATGGCCAGCGCTGCTGGAGCTCCGAAGATTTGCAGTCTGCGGACAATCAAAAGCGACGTTGTTGTTGGGCTAGGAGACGATGGGGATGCCATAGCAGAGCGGTTGGACAAGGAAGAGCCAGGTTGGAAGATTAGCGGGAAATACGTGCGTACTTTCAGCAGTTATGGCTTCATGTACTGAGAGTCCACTTCATTCAGGCTGTCGTACTCCTGTCAGAAGGTCGACCAGGTGAGAAAGTGCGGTTTGCTTGAGCGAAGCGAATTCCACTGGTAGAAAAGTGCCATTATCTCGGGTACCTGTTTCTCCTGTGTCCCAGCACCTCCTTGTCGCTTGCTATAGCTGTTTGACTCGTTTATTGCAGAGAACTAGTATCTGCAGAGTCTGGGTAGAGTACGTTCTCTGCAATGTATGCATTCCCAATATCATCTGTCGCTATTTATGTTACTAGACACTTATATGTTGTCAATTTCATCGCTTCGAGAAGTAGGACAAGCAATATTACTGACATTTCACCCACTAGACGAATGCGCCGAGCAACGTACGTGCGTGTTTGAGTCAGGATTGCCTACGTCGAGAAATTTCGCTCTGCATGAAGTTACGTAATCCCCATTGTGCGTAGGGCGGCAGCGAGCGGAGTTTGAAAAGTGATCATCATTTGACTGACCTCGGAGATGTCGACATTCTACACTTGAAGTGGTGGGAAGGAGCCTGCTATCCTTGACGGTCTATTCGTACCCACCATTTTGTGAGTTACACTTTTTGCCGTGGAAATGATGGTCGGTCATGCGACCATGATGACGGTAAGTCCCTGCGAAACAGCAGTAACTAACAAAAGGGCGGGCACTCATGAATAGACCGTAGGGGATGACACAGTAGCTTGCGTCCACTGTGTACTTGCCACCCCGAAGGAGATCGCCTGTTTAGGTAGACCGCCTATATCTCCAACTCGCATGTCAGATGTATGCCAGTCAAGAGGCCTGGTCAAGTCGGTCAAATACATGTACCAGCTTGTTGCAATGCATTGTTCACTTGTAGCATTTTTCACTAATGGCGGCCGATGGAATAATTCGAAGGAGATATTCACTGACTGTCACTGTAAAGGTTGTGTACGCAGTCAACATTCAACCAGTTCGTGGTAACTGTTCGATAGGTACCAAGCCATTCGGACGTCCATGGGAACGAGGAGCTGGATAAGCATGCGAAGTTTGCAGCGGCGAGCAGGCAGAACAACGACCCGCTCATCATGTTGCTCGCGTATCTCCGCCATGACACCCTATCCCTAAGTATCTCAACACTCAAAGAGGTCCAACGCAAGGAAACGCACGCATGATGGGAACGTCCCTGACATAAAACCCCATGGTACAATCGCATGCACCAAGTAGATCACAAGGTCTTGCAGTCCCTTCTTTATCAAACTCACCGCGGAATACCCTAAGCGACCCGCCGGATTATACCACTTCCTGACCGCCTATCCAGACTAGCAATGTGACTGTCGCACCTTGATACGTTCACCCGGGTGCAAAGCCACATCTATCCCCTTCCTGTTCTCCGATCCAGATGCCACACCTCGTCCGATATGTCCATGTCACTGAAAGATTGAGAGCGACCTTCGGTGAAGTACCACTTCCTCGCACTACATCTACTGCATTCATTTAGGTTCTTGTAGTTGTCGGCAAAGATCGAGTACGTGTTCCACTATATTTATTCACGCACGCGTACTTAGTCATTTTATCTTCGTGCGTCTAAAACGGCTGGTGGGGTATATTCCACACCAGGGCATTCGCAGATTCAGAGGTGTATTCGGGGTACTTGTGAGTCCTTAGAATAGACTGCATTGTCTAATGTCCTCCATAGATTATACTCTCGATAGGACATTAATCGGACATATGCAAGAAAACGTTCAACTTAAAGTGCCGGGCAGATAACATATAGGTGCACGCATCATGATCACCGTGAAATTTATGCCCAAACCACCTCACGGTGCGCTTCAATGAGAGTCAATGAATGTACCTTTGCATGAGCTCTTCAAAACTATTCTACACAGAATGTCTAATCCATGAGGACATCGGACACTTTATTTTTTGTGTTGCACAAGGAGCAATAAAAGAGGCTAATATTCTTGTGTTTTGTGCTAAATTCGAGTGCATTGATGATCGTTGATATAGATACTCATGCAACTTATGCGTTAGTATTCTTAGAGCACAGTTTAAATTGTGGTCCACTGCTCGTTGCCTAACTTAAAATTACGGCATTAAGTATACTAATGCAAAGCTCCGGAATTATGCTCCCAGGCTTGCTCGCCGTATCGTCGCATGCAGCAAGCATTAGAGCTACATTAACCGTATAGGCAGCGATTTATTGACTTTGAGCTAGATTCCCATGAAAGGGAAACAGTACTTATCCGAGGCCGGAACCATGGGAGCCAATGATCTTGTAATCACCGATATTTACCAATGTTACCATAAGGAAAAATCAGGTGACCGCGACTCAGACTCTACTCCTTCACAAGCACATGGATGCTAGTATCTTTGAACAATATCTGGTGGCTCTATGGGACCCAGACTATGGCATATGCGCCTGCCGGGCTTATCACTGGGAAGAAGTCGGGATCTTAACGGGGAACAAGTAACACCAAAACGCTGCTGGGCCCTGGCTGCTAGCTACTAGGTATCATTCATGCAAAGTCATGCGGCCCTGATATCGCCATCTCCAAACGGCAGTGGCTCGCAAGACAACATATTGGTACCATCGTGCTCACACTATTGGCCACGAAAAAGTTACATCACTGTCTCGTTCGTTGTATTCCATGTGCATCAAACTTCTTTCTTATTCAGAAACAATGGGCCCGGTTGGTTGCAGGATTGATAACCCAGGAATCAGTTGCGACTCCACGAATCAATTTTCGTGTCGAGCTGGCAGGTATTCACATTAGTGTAACAAGTTTTTCAATTCGACTTCGCCAAGGCCAGGCGCTATCGCTTTTCCCGGAAGTGCTCAGCCTTTCCAGTAGTTTACATAGTGCAGTCTCGACAGTGATGCACCCGGCAATGTGTACTGCGAAGGACCGAAGGTGGATTCGTCATATGTGCGTGAGCTTCATCATGTGAGCCAAGCATTCCCTGACCATTAATTAGTCCATGAATAAACTGGTCGAATTGCGCATCCTCATGAGTCCTTATTACTCACGGCCAAAAAAAGGCTACCTGTCCCGCTATGCTGGTTTGAAGCCAAGATGTGCGCATACCGAGTCGGTTGTCAAGTGATTCCTTTTTTCGGTTTCTTCACGCGTGGAGGCGCGTTCAATACGGTTCAGCCTTCATGCTTGAGATTGACCATATACTCGCCTTTCAGCACCATATCTTCACCTTTACCAGCATCTATATAATGGGTCTCGAAATATGGTATGATCGTTACCTCCCAGTACAGTTTAATCATGTTCCCAGCCGCATCTCTGTTGACGACTCTCCTCCTGGCCTTGTCCATCGCGGCATCGCCCGTTGAAGTTCGCAACTCCCCCGTCACCCTCCCTATCGCCAGGAGGCTGAACACCTCTGGTGGTGCCATCAACCTTGTGCAGCACGACCAATCTCGTGCAGCCGCCCTCAAAAGTTTCAAGGGAGATAGCACCCTCAGCCGTCGCACTGGTAGCATTACTGTGACAAACGATGCTGTAGGCTATATCGCAGAAGTTGGCGTTGGCAGCCCCGCCACAAACTGTAAGTTCAATACTGCACAAACTTGCAGCTGCTAATGTATTATTGCAGACTACTTGATTGTCGACACCGGTAGCTCGAACACATGGGTTGGTGCCGACACCAAGTACGTGAAGACCAGCACCAGCGTCGACACTGGCGATGCTGTAGAGGTCACCTACGGCTCTGGCTCCTTCTCTGGTATGTCATACAAAAATATCATCAGTTGAAATACCCACGATTATCTACAGGAACTGAGTACACCGACACCGTCGCTCTCGGTAGTGGGCTTACCATCACTGCGCAGTCGATTGGTGTTGCTGCTACTTCGACGGGCTTCACCGGTGTCGACGGTATTCTCGGCATCGGGCCCCTAATCTTGACAGAGGGCACCCTGACGAATTACCCAGACACGACGATCCCGACTGTCACTGACAACCTGTACAGCCAAGGCATCATTTCTGAGATAGTCGTCGGTATATCTTTCGAGCCCACCACTACAGAGTCAGACGCCAACGGAGAGCTCACCTTCGGTGGAGTCGACGCTACCAAGTACACTGGCACTCTCGCATACACGTAAGTCTCTGCAGCTCGTGGATGAATTCGGACTGACAGTAATCTCTTATTCCAGTCCTCTCACCACCACCGAACCCGCATCCTACTACTGGGGTATCAACGAGAGCATCACTTACGGCACGACGACCATCTTGGCCGAGACGGCCGGTATCGTCGACACTGGCACCACCCTCATCCTCCTCGCCAGCAGTACGTATTTCGAGTGCAGCGAGTAATCATGATCTAATCAGTGTTTGATAGACGCCTACGACGCGTACAAGTCTGCAACTGGTGCTACTCTGGATGCGACGACTGGTCTTCTCCGCATTACTACCACCCAGTACAGCGCCCTCAAGAACCTGAACTTCGTTGTTGGCAGCGTACGTACTTTCTGTTTCAAGTGTCAATTGCCCTTGTTCACCGTTTTGCACAGAACACCTACACTCTCACTGCAAACGCCCAGATCTGGCCTCGTTCGCTTAACACTTACATCGGTGGTACTACCAACTACATCTACCTCGTTGTCAACGACCTCGGCACGCCCAGCGGTGAGGGTCTCGACTTCATCAACGGCTACACTTTCCTTGAGCGCTTCTACGCCGTGTTCGATACCACGCACTCCCAAGTCGGGTTTGCCACAACCGCATACACGGATGCCACCACCAACTGATGCAATTTTTTTTGTTGGGTATTGGGTATCTGCACATTACAAAATATCATTTCTCATCACCTTTGTCTTCTGGAAGCATTTTAAATAACTGTAACTAGAGTCGTCGTCGAACGTTGAACATTCGAATGTAAACCATTGCTCTTCCATGAAGAAACCCAGCTCCCTTTCCCCTCAGGCTAGATGGGCAAGCTCATCGAGTGACTGTACCGCACAGCCACTCAGTACTTAGGGCTCACAGGAAAGTCTGCAAATTAGAGGCTATCTCGGACTTCGACTTTTCGCCCCGTGTTATTCGTGCCAAAGAAGCATGCCACTATGGAAAGCCTAACAGTCGCGCTCAATTTGACGCAAATATGGCAACTTCTTCTCTGTAGAATCTCGAATACTTGCTACTATGTTTGCGTACCATTGTGACTCCGCCGGCGCTTGATTCGATAATATTTCCATCCAACCTGTCCCAGAATCCAGAATCTCTCAAGTGAACATTTGGAAGTGCGAAAACTAGCGCCATCAATGAGGGAAGATGATAGAGCATGATGCCGCCATCCCTAGGTACAGAGCGTACTTAAAGACCACAAGAACGTGACAGAGCGAAAGATAACATACTTGACATGGCATCGGATCATCAAAAACGCCGAGTATGGCACAAACCTGTGGTGAAGCTAACCAAAGTTGAAGACAATCCTAGGAGCAACGTCAAGGCCGCTACGATCTATGCACGACCCCGGAACTGCATCCGGGACAGAAAGCTGGTCGACTCTGCATCTTCTGTTGAACCTTATATCGCAATTAGTTACGGGTGGGACACCCGTCCTTCTTTCAAAGAATGGGAAGGTAGGCGGGTCACAGAGCAAGCATTACACATCGCCGATCGACTCTCGAAACGCACCTCATATGCTCTGTGGATCGATGCAATCTGCATTGGCCAGGACAATGAACCAGTAAAGATGGTTGAGCTTGCGAAGATGGCGGATATATACCTCGGGGCCACAGCGGTGTTATGCCTTGTACCGGAGATAGACCAAACGACATGCAGAGTCGTGGAGCATGGAACCGAAATGATAGATTTAGATGGATTCTGTGCACTTGAACATGCTGGAGACACGCACAGGATGTACGTGTTCGCTTCCCAAGGCTCAAACAAGGCGCTGCACATGCTATTCAGCAGCAGGTGGTGGACGCGTGTCTGGACGTTGCGAGAGGCAGTTCTTAATCGCATAACGTTTTTGGTGGGAGAGAAAGAAGAAACTATTACTATTTCCGACGTCCTCAAAATCTCACCCGATTTATAGTCGACGAGCAGCGACACAGAGGAAAGACAACCAAGCTTGCTGGGGCAATTATCCGGTTTTTGGGACTCCGTTCATTCCGTAGAAGTTCCTGAGATGTCAGTTGTCCGTGGATGAACGTTTGAACTGTTGGTATTTGCATTCCGCATCGGTCGACTGGCGTTATAAGATGGCAATCACAACCGGAAGACATCAAGGGAATTATCAAAATGCTCCAAAAGCTATCATACGGCTCCGAAGACACATGGAACTTGTTATTTGGCCCGCCCGTCGGATTAGCGTGCGACGTCGATAGAGCCGTGGGATGGCTCAGGCATTGCTCAACCTGGCGACTAGATACATCGACGGCACGTTCAAATTGGGGGACTCGGAGGATGATCGATAAGGTGGTAAGCCACATACCACTGCATACCAACGACATTGATCACCCTTTGAATTGTCTGCGGACCTTCCATTCGGCAGATTCGGAACACAATGATTGACACATGGTGTCGTAGGAGGAACAGATGACATGAATACTATCATGATGGTATCTTTGACAGCGTGATGATGCAGAGAGCTGATTTGAGAAGGAGCGCGTGAATGAAGGGTGTCGTAGGGAAGGAGCGCGTTGAAGGTAAGCATTTACTATAGTTGTACACTACATGAAATTCATCAGTCTCGATCCACCATGCAGCAAAGACCAATGCAACTTAGTTTGTACGTCGGGTTATATCCGGAAAGTCGATTAAGATAGGGTAGAGTTATTTTCATTTCCGCAGTGACTCGGAATGTTCGTGTCTGGGTCAATATTACGGCGTCATATCGAAGAGCCAGTACTTGCGGTCCTGCAAAGCTCCGAAATCCTGCCCTCAGGCTTGCTTGCCGTATCGCATGCAGTAAGGTACAAAAGGATATGAAGCAGCATTAGAGTTACATTGACCATAGGCAGCGATTGAACCAGATTCCCATGAAAGGGAATCAGTAGTTGTCGGCCGGAACCCATGATGAGATATTAGCGCTTACATCATAATGTATCAGCAAAATTACGAGCATGATCTTGTTCAAGTATGGCCGCTGCGACTCACTACTTCACAAGCACACGGATGCTAGTATCTTTGAATAATATCTGGCGGCTCCATGTGACTCAGACTATGGCATACGCACCTGCCGGGCTTAATATTGGAAAGAGGTTAACGGGGAACAAGTACTGTCAGGACGCTGCTGGGCCCTAGCCACTACTACTAGGTATCATTCATGCGGCCCTAATCTTCCCATCTCCGAACGGCAGTACTGTGATCTCACCATTCGCCATGAAGTTACATCACTGTCTTGTTCACTGTTTTTCATCTGCATCAAATTTCTTTCTTCTTCAGAAACAATGGCCCCAGTTGGTCGCAAGATCAATGCCCCAGGAATCTGTTGCGGCTCCACGACTCAATTTTGTGTCGAGCCGGCGGATATTCTTGTATTCACATCAGTGTAACAAGGTTCTTAATGTGACTTCATCAAGTTTGGATGCCATTCTTCCCAGAAATGCTCAGCCTCTCCAGTAATCTGCATAGTGCGCCTCGAAAGTGATGCACCTGATGCACTGCGAAGGACTGAAGGTGCGTGAGCTTTACCGTGTAATATAAGCGTGGCCTAACTATCGATCCATTAATAAACTGGTGGAATAGCGCATCCTCATGGACAGTTTCTCTTACTCACGGCCAAAAACAGGCTACCTGTCCCGCTATTTTTATTCAAGATGTACGCGTAACGAGTCGGTTGTTTAGTTATTTCTATTTTCGGTGAGGGGGCGCGTTCCATACGGTTCAGCCTTACGATGAGATTAACCATGTGCTCACCTTTCAGCACCGTGTTTTCAGATTTACCAGCATCTATATAACGAGTCTCGAAATGTAGTATGATCGTTACCTCCCAGTACAGTTTAATCATGTTTCCAGCTGCATCTCTGTTGACGACTCTCCTCCTGGCCTTGTCCATCGCGGCATCGCCCGTTGAAGTTCGCAACTCCCCCGTCACCCTCCCTATCGCCAGGAGGCTGAACACCTCTGGTGGTACCATCAACCTCTTGCAGCACGACCAATCTCGTGCAGCCGCCCTCAAAAGTTTCAAGGGGATAGCACTCTTAGCCGTCGCACTGGTAGCATTACTGTGACAAACGATGCTGTGAGCTACATCGCAGACGTTGGTGTTGGCAGCCCCGCCACAACCTGTAAGTTCAACACCAAAAAAACATACAGCTGCTAATGTATTATTGCAGACTACTTGATTGTCGACACCGGTAGCTCGAACACGTGGGTTGGTGCCGACACCAAGTACGTGAAGACCAGCACCAGCGTCGACACCGACGAGCCTGTAGCGGTCGACTACGGCTCTGGCTCCTTCACTGGTATGACATTCAAAAATATCATAAATTGAAAATACCCACGATTATCTACAGGAACTGAGTACACCGACACCGTCACTCTCGGTGATGGCCTCACCATCACTGCGCAGTCGATTGGTGTTGCTGCTACTTCGACGGGCTTCACCGGTGTTGACGGTATTCTCGGCATTGGGCCCCTAATCTTGACAGAGGGCACTCTGACGGATGAGCCGGACACGACGATCCCGACTGTCACTGACAACCTGTACAGCCAAGGCATCATTTCTGAGATAGTCGTCGGTGTCTCTTTCGAGCCCACCACTACAGAGTCAGACGCCAACGGAGAGCTCACCTTCGGTGGAGTCGACGCTACCAGGTATACTGGCACTCTCGCATACACGTAAGTCTCTGCAGCTCGTGGATGAATTCGGACTGACAGTAATCTCTTATTCAGTCCTCTCACCACCACCGAACCCGCATCCTACTACTGGGGTATCAACGAGAGCATCACTTACGGCACGACGACCATCTTGGCCGAGACGGCCGGTATCGTCGACACTGGCACCACCCTCATCCTCCTTGCCAGCAGTACGTATTTCGAGTGCAGCGAGTAACCATGATCTAATCAGTGTTTGATAGACGCCTACGACGAGTACAAGTCTGCAACTGGTGCTACTCTGGATGAGTCAACTGGTCTGCTCCGTATTACTACCACCCAGTACAGCGCCCTCAAGGACCTGAACTTCGTTGTTGGCAGCGTACGTACTTTCTGTCTCAAGTGTTGATTCCCTTTGTTCACCATTTGCACAGAACACCTACACTCTCACTGCGAACGCCCAGATCTGGCCTCGTTCGCTTAACACTTACATCGGTGGTACCACCAACTACGTATACCTCGTTGTCAACGACCTCGGCACGCCCAGTGGCGAGGGTCTTGACTTCATCAACGGCTACACTTTCCTTGAGCGCTTCTACGCTGTATTCGATACCACGAACTCCCAAGTCGGTTTTGCCACAACCGCATACACAGATGCCACCACCAACTGATGCAATTTTTTTGTTGGGTATTGGATACTTGTACGTTACAATGTAGCATTTCTCACAACCTTTGTATTTTGGAAGCATTTGAAATAACTGTAACTAGAGTCTTCGTTGAACGTTCGAATGTCAGCTGGCTGTTACTGTTCCACGAAGACACCGCAGCTCCACTTCCCCTCAGGCTAGATCGTGAGACCACCCATAGCGCATTGTATTCGATGCCACGACCGCATACACGGATGCCGCCGTCAACTGACGAAACTTTTTTTGTCGGCTATTGGGTATTTGTGAGTCATAATATAACATCTCTCTTACTGTTATATATTAGTTTATATAAAATTTGCTATATAATTTATACGAGTAATAAAAATAAGGAAATGTGAGATTTTGCTGAGGGGTATAGTGTACTACACGCCTCGTTGACTCGAGCTTCTAGATATTCACAATTAGTTAACAGCTATTGGCCATGTCTGATGCAGATAGCGCTCTGCAGCGGCTATGTTTTGCAAAGTGGAAAGCTTTTGGAAAAGGAAAGTCCTCAAAGCCTTTGCACAACAGACCAAAACAACGCTTACCCTCGTCCTCTGAACTCTGCTGTCATGCGGTCTGGCACGCACAAGTTGCAACTGAGGGCTACGGCGAATTCTAATATAAATACAACCCACGCGTGATGCGTGCAGCTCCGAAACGTTATCGTAAGCGTGTATCGTCGACGTGGCTATCTCAAACCCATATTAGTATGTAATGTATCATGATTTTGCTTACAGTATAACTGTTGACGGACCATCTAGCACAGCCTGAGAGAATGCTTCCTTCATCTTGTATCACATGGAACTATTACGACTCCGGCCTGTGTTTCGTCTGTCTCATCACCAGTTAGCTCGTGGAATCTTCATTGAAGCGTTAGGTCGAAACCTATGGTGTCCATTTCAAAAGTATTGCGGTATGATGATTCTAAATTTTGAATGGTTCCATTTCATCACCCTTTCGAATTACCGCATCAAAAGTAAGGATTACGCTGGTTCACGACGCAGTGGACACACAAGGTAAGCATCTTTGCACGTTTACAACAAAGATGCGACTGACCCTACGCATCAAAACTTTCAGATCTTTTTGATTCTACCGTGACGCACCTTCGTTTCTGCCGTTTCTCTACTGCGCAACTTTACGCTATAATCTATAAAATCTCCCCTTATGCTCAAGCTCGCTTTCTACTGTCTTAAGAGGTACCGATGGCAAAGTTTATGGTGGTGGTCAAGTGTGCCGCGACAATGCTCCGAGTCCGCGAGAATCCCGTTTTTCCTATAATTGGAATCTGATCTGAGTTGTACTTCTCCACATGTGATGTCACCCTTTAGTGGAGAAGGACCAGTTCTCACTTGATCGTCACATTCTAAGCTTATCAAGGGTCAGTGATCTTTGTGTTCTTGTGGACTGATGCACGCGGGGAGCTACAAAGCAATGAATTCCACAGGTGCATATCCTATAGGAAAGTGTCCACAGACGCTTGCCTTTTCCCGACGTGTTGTCGGGGGATAATGTCAAATCGATGGCTTCAATGCACGACCACAGTCGTCCTTTGTCTATCGTTTCTCCGCCCGTCGAGAGGTATAAAACCCAGTGTCGTTCTCTACTCTGTTTCTCTCATCTTCGTCTCTACTTTCCAACTGTGTCATCATCTTGGCCACTTCACTTTTTCAATTCATTTATATGTCTATGTAAGTCTACTCGCACGTCAGTGGATATCCTTATATGCTAACACTACCTTGCGCATCCAGTCCCTCGTGTTACAACCTTCATACGCCATTCGATAGGTTTGTGTTCGATCTCGAATTCGAGGACGCGCCTCGTCTCATCATTTTCTTAGCGAGTCTACGCCCATGTCGGGTGACCACGTGCCGCTCCCCGGTGATCCTGATTTCGTTCCGTTGGCCGAAGAAGACATGGCTAAGTTGTTCGCAACTCATCAAAGCGGTGAGACGTCCCCCGAAGTGCGCGCCCAGTTGGATGCGTATGTAGTTCTACCCAAATCATTTATTCAAACTTACGGTCGTACAGATTGTTTAAAGAGAGCGAGGAATGCATGCGTAGTGTAGTTAACGAAGACGCGCTGGGAGGCCCAGCCGATGCTCACGTTGACGGGTAAGCCAATCTAATTAGTCTACCTGGGCCAAGCAACTCACGTCTAACGACAGGACAAACTATGGATTACCAGCGACGCAACAAGGGTGCGTGCACTCGCAACTGAGTCTTCGTCATTGGTCATCTGTTTTTCTAGAACTCGCGACGATTCACAAAATGTTCAAAATCCTCAGGAATTCAAGTCGTTTCCGACATTGGAGAATTTCAACGCCCCGGTGGCTGGTCTTCCCCTGTTGTCCCACATCGATCAGGGGCTCTACCCTCCGCAGACCTCTGCCATCCCTCAAGCACCCCCGCAAGGCCATCCTTGGTCCCAAAATGAATACAACCCTGGATATTTCATCAACGGACCTCCCAGCACATATATGCAGCCCTCTGCCGCACCGCAAGGCCCTGTACTATGGTCCCAGCCTGAATATAATCCTGGATATGATGCCAATGGACCCTCTAGTGCGTATTATTCGCAACCCTCTGCAATCATTCCAGCACCACCGCAAGGCGACGCATTGGCCCAGTATGGATATCATCCCGCTCCCTCCTACCCTTACCAGCAACCTCCCATCATTGCGGGTCCGTCCAACGCGTATTACCCCATTGCGCCATTCCCCCAAGGTCAATATGCTCCATTACTGACGGAATCCAGTGGGGGCTCAAGCGTGGAGCCAGCTTCTCTTGCTTTCGACGGGACAGCATCTAACAGGCCTCGTAAGCGTAAAACACGCCAGACCTCTGAAATTGAGGATGGTTCGAGTTCGTTCGTTGCATCAGCAGTGCGCAAGCGCAGGCGCCCGAACGTCGCCGACGACTACAGACCGGGCAAGTTTGGTCCGTACACGCTAGCGGATACTAGTGCCACGATCATGGCCATGCCTGTTCACGATCCAAAGCCTGTTGACATCAGTAGCCGCAGGACCCATGATCCCAACGGAGATCCCCTTCGAACCAGGAGATTTGGGGTTATGGAACTGGACGATACCTACCCCGATGCATCTGGAAACGTCCCTGCCCATCACTCGCCACAGTTGACCTGCGTACGCCCATGCGATTGGACCGACCAGCCGTGTGGACTGTTCATAGAGGTGGACAAGATCCGTATTGAAGACCACCTGTGGTTTTGGCATGGGGTTGAAGCGAAGAAAGCCACTCCCTGCCGATTCGAGGGTTGCCCGGACGCAGGGACGATGATGTATTTGAGCCGTCACATCGAAGGGGTCCACTTCGCTACGTCCTATCAATGCCCCTATTGCAAGAAGCTGTCGTCGAGGACCGATTCTTTGGCTCGGCATCAGAAGGGGTGCAAACCATTGCTTGCTAGCAGGGCTCATGCTGAACATGGAAAGTACCAATTCCATCACCAAGCGATGATCAAGTCAGTTTCTGGATATATCGTTCCTGCCAACAACGCGACCTAGGACAACGCCTGAATATGTATGTCCCCCTTACCCCGCATCTGTCGCTGCTACTAACGTTACTTCTTGTTTCTGTGCTCTAGTGTTGACTCCAATTCTTGACACAACTTCTCTCTACGTCTGATGACAATCATTCCATTCTATTACCAACATTCCTTTAGAATATTCTCTCTACGGCTAACGACACTCGTTTCATTTTGTTACCAACGTTCCTTTTGAAATTTATTCTCTCTACGGTTAATCACACTCGCTTCATCCTATCACCGACATTCCTTTCGAATATTCGCTCTTTTCGTCCTTGCTTAGTGTATCTTCTATGTGGTTATTGGGTTATCTTTATTGCACGCTGGACGTGGCTATCGTACCTTACCATCGTGCTCGGTCTATCTTACATATGGTTGTTGTATGGGAAGGAATTTGGAAGTAGCTAGTCACTGTCGTATCTCGTTATGGAGCTTAGAGCTTCCCATCGTTATTGTTATGAATGAAATATAGCTAGTGTTCCCGCTGACTCAGTGGAGCTCAGGTGGTGGACGGATAAACCGTTTCATCGTGAGTATGCACGGGATAGTCCAGGTGGAGAGTCACGCGAGTTGCTTCCGCGTGATCAAACGCATGGACAAATTTAAAGTTGTCCTAGGGAAGGATGACTACATAGAGTGAACTGTTGTCGTTCCATCATCCCTAAATCATGAGACCACCCACCGGTAGCGTGGACTAATAATCTAGATTCAGAAAGATCGGATCTTCTAATAATCGACCTTGCTCTTCCGTGAGAGTGATATGTGTGCTGTAGTTACTGTAGTCACAGACGCGCATATCCATATCATATCTAACATCTGTGCACGGGGATGATGATGTGGTAAACATTGGTTGGCTGAGCGATTTGATTCACCGAAGACTTGTGCTTGGCTTGCCCACACGGGCAAGTCTGCCCCTGTGAAGGGGCTCAATGGAAAGCTTGCGTTCAATCTCGAGGTGACGTTTCAACTTCAAAGCAAGTTTAACTGCATTTGACAAGCTGGCGAGTCACGACCACGCAGCAGCCTAGGTCGTGCGATCTTTCGAACGGATGCCAGAATCTGTCGACTGAAGGATACAAGCTGCATGTACCAGTGAGTAGTACTAGTTTCTTGCTGGTGATTATGCTGGTTACCGTCCATTTACATGGTCATATATATGATGCATTGATCGCAAATCTTCTTTTCACCGGAACTGTTTTCTGATCGGCGAAAGCTCAGGTATATGACGGTGTTATCGGTGTTATAAGTGCGAACCTAATGCAAAAAGCACTCCAGTGTTGCTTTGTAAGGCCACGTCATGGAGTACGATTCATAAATCATTCGCGTCACTGTTAACGTTTGGGTCTCTAGTTCGTCGACATCCAGTCTGCAATTACTTGTTTTGGCTCGATCTACAGGTGATGCATTTTCAGTATTGCTCCGCCTTGTCATTTTTGCACTTCGGCGGCTCGGTACACAATCAGACTTGTTTTACTCCGATGAGTCTTGCCGATAACTCACACACACATACAGTAACATTATTATCATAATAGATTGAACGCTACTTGTGCTTGAAAACCGACCGGGAAGTTCCGGGCTTAATCATTAGCACTGCTCCCGGAATTCTGATTACTACTACTTACTTCTTGCAATTGTCCACCACCTGGGTCAACACAATATGGACGATCAATCTACCAGTACTTCCAATTCTCAGGACAAGGCTTTTCAATCAAGTGCTCGCTCATGACGTATGTACAACACAAGCTGGAACCATGATCGCGTGATTCATTTTGACCTGTAGGTGGCCATGCATTACATATAGGTCTGTGGATTCCCCATACGAATCCCAGACTGGTGTGCGTCACTACGGAATAATATTCGCCATGCGCCTTCGTGGTCGAGGGATCGACCCTGTAGTCATGCAACCTCCGGCAAAAAATTCTTGCTTGCATAAATGAACTATTGGATCGTGTGTAAACAGCCGTCATGCTTCAGAAAATGGCCTCAAACGGCGTCAGTTCAACAATTCGATCACTGGCAAGGCCAGGACAACCAGGGACGACCGCTCTCCTCAGCAACGCTTGCTACACCAGCCTGATGCTGACGTTCTGCTGAGGTGTATTATTGATGGGTGAGCGTTTCTACGGAAATGAACGTGAGGTAAGTCAATGAACTGATGGGCCATGGGTAAACAGGCGAATTGTAAATTTCTACCGCCTTGGATCAAAAACAAACAACCTTCCTGTCATTCTTATTTGATCAGGAAGTCGAATCTATGCACTCGTGATAACTCGGACCGCCACTATTTCGTCATCGCTTTTGAGAGGGGACGTTTCATACGTAGCTAAGGTGCCCAATATTCGCGTTCGCCAGTACATATATAATGGATCACTGACTCAGAGTATGATATAACTTTCGAGTCAGTCATCATTCATGTTCCCCGCTGCATCCTTTTTGACAATCATCTTCCTGGCTTTGTCAATCGCGGGATCGCCCGTTGAAATCGACAATTCCCCCATCACCCTCCCCATTGCCAGGAGGCTAAACGTCTCCGATGGTCCCATTAACCTCTTGCAACAGGATAAAGCTCGCTTGACTGCCCTCAAGGGCAACTCCTTCAGCACGCAGGGCGGCCGTACTGGTAGCACTCCTGTGACCAATGCTGTTGTAACATACCTCATAGAAGTTGGCATCGGCAGCCCCGCCACAACCTGTAAGTTCAGCACTGAAAAAACGCGCGGCTGCTAATGTACTATTACAGACAATTTGATTGTCGACACTGGCAGCTCGAACACATGGGTTGGTTCCAACACCAAATATGTGAAGACCAAGACCAGCGTCGACACCGGCGAGCCTGTAGCGTTGACCTACGGTTCTGGCTCCTTCTCTGGTATGTCATATAAATATATCATAAGTTGAAAATACCTACGAATATCTACAGGAACGGAGTACATCGACACCATCACTCTCGGTAGTGGGCTGACCATCGCCGCGCAGTCGATCGGTGTTGCTTCTACTTCGACGGGCTTCGCCGATGTTGACGGTATCCTTGGCATCGGGCCTGTAGACTTGACAACCGACACTCTGACAAATGAACCGACCAAGATGATCCCGACTGTCATTGATAATCTGTATAGCCAAGGCACCATTTCTCAAAAGGTGGTTGGCATCTCTTTCGAGCCCACCACTTCGAACACAGTCACCAATGGAGCGCTCACCTTCGGTGGAACTGATGCTACCAAGTACACCGGCTCCATTGAGTACACGTAAGCTGCCTCAGCTCCTAGATCAATCCAGGCTGGTAGCAATTGTTTTGTTTCAGTCCTATCACTACCACCTACCCTTCATCAACCTATTGGGGTATGAACCAGAGCATCTCCTACGGCTCCACGACGATCATGTCCTCCACGGCTGGAATCGTCGATACTGGAACCACCTCTATTTACATTGCCAGCGGTATGTATCTAGAATGCAGCGAGTAATCATGGTCTAATCAGCGTTCGTAGATGCCTACGCCAAGTACCAGTCTGCAACCGGTGGTACTCCGGATACGGCGACTGGTCTTCTCCTCATTTCCTCTTCCCAGTACAAAGCCCTGAAGAACCTGAACTTCCATATTGGCAGCGTACGCCATTTCTATCAGCCCTCGTGCCCCTTGTTTACCATTTGCACAGGAAACCTACGCTCTGACGCCTAATGCCCAAATTTGGCCTCGTTCTCTCAACTCTTACGTTGGTGGTAGTAGCAACGCCATATATCTCATGGTTAGTGACATTGGTACGCCCAGTGGCTCAGGGGTTGACTTTGTCAACGGCTACACATTCCTCGAGCGCTTCTACTTTGTGTTCGATGCCACCAACTCCCGCGTTGGTTTTGCTGAAACCTCGTACACTGGTGCCACCACTAACTAAAATATAACCACCAAAGTACACAAATGATCAAATTTCAGACGCAAAGCAGCATACGGATTTGATGGCTGTATGGAGTAGGCTACGGAGGTCTTATTCCTCGGTCGGGTTTGCGTATTATTAGCAATAGTATCATATTTACTCGTGATCTTTGCACTTCACTGGCGGCAGCTCGGTACACAATCAGATCTCAGACTCGGTTTACTCCGATGTCTTGACAATAGCTCACATGAAATAAAATGCTATTCATTTCGAAAAGACTTGTCTGCAGACTGCATTCCAGAAACATCATTTCTCGATATGTAGATACCCAGGATTATCAAAAGTATCTATAACCGTAATTCACCGCTTCGAGGGAAGGAATGAGGGAAACGTATTCCGCTCGCTGCGCATCTGTTATCGCCGCTCGACCATCGATAGTCAGGGTCTCCAGGGGACACATTGACCGTGCCAAAAATTACTGCATGTCCTCATGAGGCCAAGATGCATAAATGTGGCTATTGCGGCGAGCTTCAAGCGCACGCAAATTGGGGAGTGATAGAGCATTGAACAGGTCAGATCAAGGGCGCGCGAGCAAAGGGTCATGAAGCATGATGCATAAGGATTATAATTTTGTGTGCGTGAATGATTCCATGGGTTTTTTTGGGTCGGATGTTATGTGGACATTTAAGGAAGAGAGGTTGGGACATAGATGGAGCAAATGGAGGAATGCGTTCGGGTTACATACGGACAATATTGTATCAGCTTCTCTTGCCAGTGACGGACAGGTGTGCAGTGCTGTGTCAAGAGCGATTTTACGTTGTCACCGCGCCAGTATTAAATCAAGTACGAGATAGACAAAATCAGCGTGCTGAAATCACGCCAACAAACTGGCGCGAAACAGGTGCATATATGCGGATGCAAGATGTTGTCGGAAGAGACGAGATGGCGAAATCAGGAAAGGGGCGAGTTTTAGGATGAAGTATTTGAGTTTGCAGGAAGAGCTTGGAACAAATGGGTGGAAAACATACTTTTTGACGCCGTGGAACCTGGCAGGGTCGAGAAGTAATACACCGCTAAAGACGGACGCGCTTTTGAGTTTGAAAGAAGGCTATCTTTGCGGAGTCAAAGGTGGTCTGGTTAGTCGCAATGCATCATCGATGCCGGAAAAAATTCAAATGATTCAGACGAGTTGCAAGAGCGAGAGGTCTTAAGAGGAGGGCATGTAGTAAATGGACAGTCTGCATGAAGTCTGCGCAGGGTCCAGACTCAGCGCCAAAGTTCGGGACGTCTGGAGACATGCCTGTGATCGGAAAGTCCCGGGTGGTCAATAATCTGTCTGCATCATCGCAACCACTGTGCCGTCTACGTCAGCCACGGTTGGCACGCGTCCCGCCATCTATGTCAACTGTCATGCTGATATCGTCATCTTTGTCAACTTGCCGTCACGGTTCTAGTCACTTGGAGGGAGGACATGACAGTCATAGACTGGGAGCTGCAGACACCGGCATGATGTTGGCAGACAAACAGGAAATGGGTAAACACATAGGAAGTGACAAAGCGTGAGAGACTCGCAGGGATCAGAAGAGATGGAGGTGAAGATCTTGATGACAGGCAGGTGGGATGGAGGTTGGGTGGGATGATATACGAGGCGCCCTGAAGTGACAGACTCCCCGGCACTTTCAGAATCCGAACAGCCCACTGACAGGGCACAGGAATCCTGATGCATCCCAGCTATTCGGCCAAGGTATGAGGATTGACAGAAATTTACAGAAATCCGTTTGTGAAACCTTGCGGAAGGTTACCGCTGGCTCTTTGATGGTGACGCTGGGGAGCTTGTATCTTATTTCTGTCCATAGTAGAGTGAAAGAACTTGTCAAGGGTTTCCCCACAAAATCATTTGAGTTGCCGACGTTACTGGCCGCGGCGCGAGGGGAACATTCAAGGACTCCGCACCTCGGAAAGTTCATATAACATTATGTATCTTTACAGCTTGCAAGAAGGAAAGTGAGGTCAGAAGACTCAGAACGCATCAGAAAAGATATGCATATCTACAACAGACCGCCCGCAAGTTGCTCCGCAGGTGGTCTAAGAAACGAAGTCAACGCTCGATTAGTCTGTCTCTTCGTCCCAGCGCCCGGGGAAAGGCGGCGTACTGCCCTGAGACTCGTTGGACATGCCCGCGCGACGTGCTCCTCTTGAACCTGAATTTCCTCTTGAACCTGAATTCCTACCCGAACTACCACCCGCTCTCGAGCCACCCATGCTTCCAAAAAATGAATGGAACAATCCTCCACCACTGCGGCCTGAGTTCCCAGGTGATCGTGGACGCAGTGGAGCTGGTGGGCTTGTTGGGCGGCTACTGGGTCCGTTTCCTGGTCCCGGGGGGCTACCTGGTGAGCGCGGCCGTTGTGCTTGTTCTATAAGAGCATACCTTTTACTCAGTGTAAGATGACGTAGAAATGGACATGAAAAAATGACCCACCGGCAAACAGGACACGTTCCGCTAGATTTTAACCATGGCAATATACAAGGCTGGTGAAATGGGTGCTTGCATGGAAGAGTTACAATAACTTGCTCTTCCGGGTCTTCGGTTCCCAGTTGGAACTGTTCTTTACATACGGCGCAATCTTTATCCAGTAGTGGAGCTAGCAATACATGAAGGTGAGCAGCGGGTGGAGGATACGATGGACAATGACAAACATCGTTCCATAAGAACTTCTCGTGGGAGATTGTTAATGATGTCGTCTGTTGCTGGAATAGGCCGTGATGCGGAGTTTTCCATTATCTGCGTTATTACTTGGTCCAATGCTTCCAACTATCGTCAGGCTTTGTAAAACGTCTCAAAGAGATACACACCCTCTTGATTGAAAACATAGTCACCCCAGCGTCCACCCGGTCCTCCTTCAGGACCAAGGGAGAACATTTCAGCAAAAGGGTCTGCGCCTCTACCGGTGGGTCCCTGTCCCAGTAAAGCCAATAAATATTGTGCCATCATTGGGCCAGTGATGTCTCCGGGTCGTTGACCATTTTGATTATCACGACGCAGGAACCTATACCAAAATGTGCATATAAGATTTCGAGACGATCACAATGGACGTACTCGGACATGTTGGGAATTTCACCATCGCGCTGCTCCGGAGAGCGCGGACGATTAAGGGCGTTGGGACCAAGAAACACGGTCCTTGTGGCACCCTGACTAGGTCCAGTACTATGAAGCTCAAAACGAATACCAGCCTGATCGTATTGTGAGCTTTTCTTGCAGCGTGTATAGAAGATGACAGACCGGTGGTACTACCTCGGGGCTACGAGGGAAGGTAGGTGAGCGAGGTCGAGGATTTCCCGTCAATGCAGCTGTGGGTGTTTTCTTCCATGTAAGGTCTTAATGCATGCATGCATGCATGAACGCGCACCTAGCAAGCCACCTAAATTCGGAGGAATTTCGTCATCGAAGCCTCCTCTCGGAGTGTGTTGCTGGTATGCCCGAGGATCATCGCTCGGATCCTCTATCTGCAGAAGTTTATGATACATCGTTATCATCAAGTACGAAGATCGGGGTGCGCACCTTCTCGACGAACGTGCCCTGACATGATGCACAAATTGGATCCGGTTGCTAATAGATCATATCGTCATACGTTAACATCGGAAGTCAGCTGAGGATCTGCTAACCATGAGTGGTCTCATCTCAGCATGACACTATTGCAATGTTATATTAGTATAACCTGACGTGCAAGTTATTATCAGGGGACAAACTTCGTGACAATACCACATAGGCTCTCTAGAAGACATGGTAGCAAAAGCCTGAGCTTGAGCGCTGAGCAAGTGGATGGGTGGTGGAAATGTAATGCAGGTTTCGGAGCAGTGTTGTAATGACGCCACAGCGTGCCACAGCCCGCCAGCGACCCGGGGAATCCGCCCAGTGTGGTACAGCACAATATTACAAAGTCCGGCGGAGTTTCTAGTTTCAGCTTCTCTCACGCCGACCCTCACGAGAACAACGACCACAAGGTGAGCCTGGCACCATTCTCTTGAATCACGATGAACATTCTGGTTCCCTATTATACGAGTGCTCGTTGTCGGAGAGACATGAGATCAATACCGGGTTTTCCTGAGCGTTCCAGCTGTGGTTTGGATTAACTCGAATCGACTCAAATCCTATCTTTTGCTCAGGTTAACCACGCTGTCTTCCCAAACAAGAGTCCCGTAACCCGGAAGAAATTCATATGCAATCGATGAATATACTAGTCATAGTGTACGGTCCTAACGTTCCATCGAAGCAAACAATTGTGGCCAATCTGCACTCTTTCTACACATCTCTCGGAAAGCCCCTCCAACCTTTGCCAAAAGTACTTTTGGCTCATCAAACTCAATGATCTCCCCAGCATCTAACACTAAAATGCGATCATAATCGATGATCGTCTTGAGGCGATGCGCTATAGTAATAATAAGCGCACCGGACAGTTCTTCACGAATTGTCGTTTGGATCTATAAGCACACATTAGTGAGACACAGGACTGGAGTAACATGTCAACTAACTTGGTCATCCAAACGCGAATCTATCTGAGACGTTGCTTCATCCATAATGATGATATTGGTTTTTCGTAGAACTGCCCGAGCGAGTGCAACCAGTTGCCTTTCTCCTGCGCTGAGCGAGCCACCTTGGCTTATCGGCATCTCAAGTGTGAAGCCACCTTTTTCAATCGCCCGACTGAGCAACCTTGTTAAATGACATCGCTCGAGCACATCCCAGCACTCCTGGTCAGTATGCTCCTCGAATGGGTCCAAGTTGCTTCTGAGTGTACCAGAAAACAACGAAACGTCCTGACTAACAATGGTCTGGGGACGAGTCAGCAATCTCCTAAGGGGCTAAATAATCGACCCACTATCCGTGACCGAAGATCTTCTAAACCAATTGTTGAAATATCTATTCCGTCAATGCTACAAAAGTGTTCAGACGCTGGAACAAGGAGCAAGACACCGAGAATAACATACATTATTCTTCCAGCGCTAGCCTCTATCATACGCAGCAAGGACAAAGCCAAGCTTGATTTCCCGGAGCCCGTCCGTCCGACCTGTCGATAATAATGATCAATGGTGAATGCTAGATGTTCCAAGGATATGCGACAAACCACCCCAATTTTTTCAGACGGTTGAACAACAAATGATATATTTTTGAGCACGTCCGGTAGGTCGGGGCTGTACCTGACAACAAGGTTCTCGACAACCAACTGACCGTCGCTTGATGGCCAGTATGCTGGAGGTCTGCTCTTCTCGATAATGGCAGGTGCCTCCTGTGGTACATCAAGATACTCAACCACACGTTCGACCGCATTAAAGTCAAGCTCCAGCTGGGCAAGAACTCGCACTAGTTGGCGAGATGCCTCAGCAAAGATTCCAGCTTGCACGATAACGATGGCAGAAGACCCATTGGAAACTCCTTGCGAAAGAGCGAAGAGAGTCGTGAGATACACCACAACTGAGCCGAGACCTGCAAGGCGTTTAAGTTAAACATGATGAAAAACACAAGCCACATACAGTCATATCTCCAGCGGAGCCAGCCGTTGACAAGCCACTGGCGAAGGGGTTAGTGCGAGACATTGCAGGGTGAGGAGTGCATCTTACGTATACGTGGTCGTACGATTGAAATTTATCTACTTTTTCATAGAATTTATCTTGGTATCTTGACTCCATTGCAAATGCACGAACGTGTGACAAGCCACGTAGAAGCTCATCGAAACCAGCGAATGCAGGCGACAAGGCGACGCTCTCAAGGCGGCGCAGGTCTCGTTGAGCTTGTACGAATCGAGGAGCAATGCGGATATACAACCATGCAATCACCAACGCTAAAGGCGCGAACGCGGGTATAACCACAATTATGACAGTGAAAGAAGCCAAGAAATTAAGAACGCCGGATAGTGCGGCGCGGGCGGAAGTTTGCAGAGCTCCGTCAATAGTGTTAATGTCTGTCGTAAAACGGTTAAGAATCCTCCCGATGGGTGTGGTATCAAAGAACCGGGCCGGTGCTCTTGTAAGCCTTTGGAGTAGTCTGAGGAACAGGGAGCGGGAGGCCTGGAGACTTGCGTAATAGCCCAACGAGATGTAAGCCAGTACTGAGAATGCCCCTGCGATAGAGATATAGAGGTAGATCAAAAGCCATGGTTTGACATTGACATCAGGAGGGGGTAAGTCATCCCAAGGGTATTTGACGTTTGGAAGGAAAACCGAAGCGGAGACGTCATAAGATTCACCCCATTTGGCCAAGAACACCTTGAAAAAAAATTGGCAACATGTATGGGGTCAAGACCTGCAACCGTACCTGATTCCCGATGTTAATCATGCGGATCATGAGCATCAAGACGAGAGTCAATGCCCAGGACATCAAACCTGCTGCCTTGATGTAAACCCAATACGTTCTGAAAGGCACCCGGCCTTCCGCTCGAACTTCCGCTTCCACTAGTTTTCTAGCAGTTTGAGACGGCCGCTGCATTGGAAGAACATCTTTGGTCATGTTGTCATCTGGGGTTTGAATTCCCGAAGTAGCGACTTCTGTTTCTTCATCGTCAACCTCGTTAAGAGCATCAACCTCTCCGACATCCTGGAACTCCTCTTTATCGCCAGCACGGGCAATGCTGCCGCGAGACAGCTCAACCACGTAAGATGCAATCGGTAAACATAAACTGATATGGTGGGTTACCAGGATAATTGTCCGATCGCGAGCCAGTTCCCCAGACAAACAGTGCTGCACAATGTGTTGTGCAGTATGCATATCGACCGCGGCAAGTCTGAAGAACATTCAGAAAAAATAGTGACCTTGACAGAAAATGCCTACGGATCATCAAGAAGGATGCACTATCCAGTAACGAGGTCGGTTAAGATAGTGGAACAATAGACTGGCAGAAGACTCACATTAGCTTCCGAGTACATAGCGCGTGCCAAGGCAATACGAGCTCTCTGTCCACCAGATAGCGTGATGCCTTTCTCGCCGATTTCTGGGGTTCAAAGTAATGCCTTAGCAATGATGGATGGATAAGAGAACCCTTACCAGTCATGTCGCCAGCTTCGAATACAGCAAGATCACGTTCGAGAGCACATGCCTCGACCACTGCGTGGTATCGCGCCTCATTGAAGCCGAGCTTGGAGCCGAAAATGATGTTGTCCCTTATGGTTGCGTGTTCAAGCCCTGTATATCAATTTGAGTGAGCGACTAAGCTGCACTATGATAACATCACTTGCAAGGAGTTTGTGCGCAGTAAGCCACTTGATGCCTCCTCTTGTTTATGAATACATCACCGGACAAACAATGCATTTCTAGAATGAACACATCTCAGGGCCGACTTCTGACCGCAAAGGATGCACTGACCGCCAAGCAACGCTGTAAGCATGGCACTTTTCCCAGCACCAGTCGCACCACTGATAAGGCTCAGCTGGCCTTTCGGAAACTTGATATCCAGAGGTCCAAGTTGGAAGTGAGTTTCAGTCATCGATTCTTTGTGAACTCCGTGCCATTCAAAGGTCGCATTATTAAAGCCGATGTCCGAGAAATCCGCTTCAGAGCCGGTATCCACTGTCGACAGAGATAAAGCCCATTCAGGAACCTCTTGCTCCGCAAGGAGCCCCTCAATACGCTGCATCGATACGTAAGCTATGAAAGATAAGAATTGCATATCCAGTTGTAGTGTCGCATGACAAACCGTGAAGCATTGCAAAGAATTGTCCAGGAAGAGCGGTCATCGGTTCCTGTAGCTGTGAGAACAGAGCGACTGCGGTGAATGCCTTGGATACCGTCAGCTGCTCCTGTTCGCCCAAAGTGTACCAAGAGAATGTCGCAAGGGCTGTCGCTGAAGGTATCCACGTCCTATAAATTGTCGTGAGTACGCGCGAAGTCTGGATAACGAACAGCTTACCATATGAAAGAGATGATAGTGTCGACAACATTCTCTTTAACCCGCCAGTCGAGTTCTCTTCTCGTGCCTGATGAGCAGTGCGAGACCACTGATTTTCTATGAAACGCTAGTCAAGTAGAATTATGTGTCAGCTTCTGCTCACCCACCCCAACCATAAAACTTCAAAAATCTGATATTCTGAAGTAGTTCGTTTACGACATTCATCCTTTTGTCCTTGGCCTTCCATGATGCTCGGGTAATCTGTGTCACATTAGCCAGGAAAATAGAACAATCGAGACTCTAAACCTTGATGTTGTATGTCGCCAATGGGTAGTTCAGAATATAGGCAAAAAGAATCACAACGACGCCTGACATCGCGCTCCATCCCAATATCCTAAGGTATTACTTAGCTTGATATCTCAGAGGAACTGTGACGTACTTGTAGAGGAAGACTAGCGCTATCACAAGCCGTAGAGGAGACGAGAAGATTGCGGCAAAGTCCCAAAATCGTTGAGCGACAGCATACGCATCGCCTCTTTAAGGTGGATTGAGTTATTCACAGGAGACTATAACCCTGAGGAAAACGCACTGCATGAGATTCACAATTTTTCCAAGGTCAGCACTTCCTTCTTCGTCGCTAGAAGTTTTTCCACTGATATCCCTGCGGCGCAATGCTTTATAGTGCAAAGCACAAAAGAGTTGGCCGCGAGTTCGTTCGTAACATCTGCGAGTATGCCAATTTTTGAAGAGATCGACTTGCGCAAAAGACAAATGTGCTACAAATGTAAGGAAAGCCCAGTATTTGGCATTCGCTACCGACTCGGGAGTAGGATTATCTAACGACGATAGAATCATCCGGAGTGCGTAAGCCGGCACGAACCCTGCGGATCAATATGACATTACTCTACCTGGATCGGTCTATATCTGAGCATAATACACGCACCGACAACAGCGCCCCACATTTCCAATGCAAGGTCCAAGATTAGATCGAGGGAGTTAGATACCAGCAAAAAGCGCAGTAGAGAATGCGTCGGATAGCTAGCTGCGTATAAGAGACTGACCTAAGTAGAATACAGTGTTTGCCTACCGTGAACGGTAACGGAGGCATTTGTTGAACAAGTTCTTGTGTCGGAAAAACGGCGACAAGGACCAGACATCGGCATCATTCAATGTTCGCTTCCACGCCAGGTCCAATATGGGTTCTACAAATGATACGGTACACCATGACCAAAGGTTTGCGTCATCTTCGGGAGAGGAAAGATTGGATGACGGAATCTAGTCCGCAGGGTCAGTATATGAGTGGGGGACATAGTTGAACGAACAGACATTGGTTGAGCTGGCAACGTTAAGCGCGGGTCGCACAGCCTGCAGTGGCAAAAGGCCAGCCACGTAGACGAAGGTTGCTGAAGATATTGTCCGAATTAGGATAACGATCATGGGACCGGCAGCATAATCCGGCAATGAAAAGTAGTAAATGCAGGCAGCAGCAATTTGCGAAACTGCAAGTAGAATAAGCATATACGGAGGGGTAGACGGTGCTCTCAACAGGAGTGTTAGGGTTGCATAAAACTGCCACGACAAATCACAAGGTGAATTTGACGTGTAATAAAATATTGAACAATCCTACCCATGCAATTGATGCCACTAAGGCGTTGGTCCAGGGTTCCTGCAAGACGATGGTATACCCAAAATACGCAAGCCAGCTAAACGAGGAAAGGAGTGCGATAGAAACAAGCGCTCGAATTATCCAAATCTGTTGGGGAAAGTCATCGTCGAAGGGACCCTCGACATCGTCTAAAGTGATAAAGTTACGAAAAGGTGCGCTCAGCGCACTCCAAGTAACTTGGATGATTTTTGGAAGCTGCCTGCGCGCTAGGAAGTCGATAACGATTGCTAGGATAGTGATAACAGCGGGGCACCAGGTTCCAAACGGAACGTTATGAAGTTGCCCGCTGAACCACGGTTCCTGTAGAGGGGTCAGCAGAGTCGAGGGAGGATAATAGATACCTACCTGAACAGAGTGCATAATTCTTAAGCACGAAGCAAAGGTGAAACGCGTTAAAAGTCGCGGATTCAGAAGAAGTTGCCGCCGATCGTGTAAGGAATTCAAGCTTTAGAAGATGAACAATTACGTTATTTCTCACGGAAGCTGAAACAGACTCCTAGATGCATTTTAGAATATTATAATTTGTTATTGAAAAACTGATTTCTTAGCCACGTGACCGAGGACGCGAACATAGGTTTACATAAACTTTGTACCGTCTCTGTCCAGCCGTCTATAATCTCCATGAGGTACCAGCACCCTCTTTTACTTCTAATCCAGATCTCAGGAGGAATCGCGATTGCACTGCCAGAGATAACAACTGCGCATTATGGCTCAAGCGTGCATTCCGGAAGAGACTTACTCGGTATGCTCGCAGGCACTGCTGGCAGTGGCACAGACTCGCCTGCAACATCAGACACGTTCCATCTTAGCTCACCTTCATCTCCTATACATCCTGCTTTGAAAGATCTAGGAGGCTTGTTCACAGATCCGGTACTCCCCACGGCATCCTCATTGGGAAAGGTTGATCTAGTGACTCCCACAAGCCTCGGTGTTACGTCGTCCGCAGGCTCTCTAAACCCATCTCCGGAACAGATAACATCTACATCCACCACAAGGCCGGCGAGTTATCCAAATCCCTCATCAGCAGCCATGTCCGAGAACGCGTCCGCTGACAACAAGACCTGGAAAATCATTGGGATCGTCTTCATCGCAATCTTGATCATAGCAATAGCGATTACATCCAGCATGTTCTTCGATCGATGGTGGAAGATTGCGCAAGAGATCTTGTGCTGCAAGGGTCGAAGGGACAGTGGCATCGAACAGTTCGTCCCTGACTGGGAGAAGCAGACCTGGGAAGTCAATCTAGGATCAGAAGACCGTGATTATAGACAGCGAGCATCGTTTATGTCTTTTCGGTCTGATACGGGCCCACATCATGTGAAGGAGAGAGATATCCATACGATGAGAAACTCCGCGGACCACACTATCCCTACCCTGCCAGTCGCGGTGCCACCTCCGTTACTCAGAGTCGTCTCTCCATCAGACACTCGAGAGCTTCCTTGGGATGCCGATAATCTCCATAAGTGCGCTCTTCACCGTCAGCTTTCCGCGCGCAGCGGTCGCCACGGACTCGGAGACACATAGAGCGTGGAATTTGCCTGTAGCTCCCTCATACCACACCCTGCCCTATTACTACCCCATTTTCCAGTTTCTTTCCCAACAAGCAAGTATTTCCAACTCGCGCCACGATCAGCGACTATCACATTCAATATCCACCCAATCGTTTTGTATAACTGTTCATGCTGTACCTGCCGCGTTCCGGGACGGTGGGGACGCGACATGGGTAGGCGCGGTCCTTGGCGGCGCCACTGGGTACTTCTTTTCCAAATAGTCGGACACATAAATTCCTGCTGCGCCCACCGAGCATACAGCCATGGAGATGTATAGTCGTGTTCGGGCCGGAAGAGCTTGAGAGAGTTGTCTGAGCAGACCTACGTAGAACTAAGGAGATTAGTTTACACACCTTTGTATGATTGCCACAGCGATCTATTAGCAACCACTGGCTCAGCAGATGGCGGTGATTTCTTGGAAGTCATCATAATACGATCGTCTGGAGAGACAGTGATTCTAGACAAAAGCGAAAAAAAAGTTTGCCCTACAAACTTCTGAATACGAGGAATTGGACTGAGTTTGGTAACCGTCAGCCTTCTTAGGTCAGAACTTGGTCAGAACCGACTATAAACGTTATCACTCAGGCATGTTTACTGGTCTGGCAAGTACTACTTCAATTCTATGCAGCTACTCGTTCCCTGTAACTTGACTTCAGATTGAACACCTTGGAACAGTGTCTGCTATCCACCGGGATGATGGCGGTTGTGCTTTAACCATATCGCAGTCAGCACCTATCTTAGTGGACTGTCATATCGGCGACTCCATAGCCGTCAATGGTGCCTGTTTGACAGTTGTCGAATTCGATATCGAGCGTGATGGAGGTTATTTCAAAATATGGCTAGCCAACGAGACCCTCAGCAGGACTGATCTGGGTGAGTGACCAGAGGCAAACTAATGCAGTCGCTCATAGGTAATCGAGGCGATCGCAAGGTCGGTGATCAGGTGAACCTTGAGCGCGCTATGGGTGCCCATGTTCGATTCGGTGGTCACTTCGTGCAGGTGCGTTCTTTCTGACGATGTACCGATCGTCATTAATGAGTCATTTCTCATATCAGGCTCATGTTGATATAACTGCGACTATTCTCAAGAGAACTCTTGATGGTGATTCGTTGCGTCTTTGGTTCCAACTTCCCGAACCAACCGCAGAAAGACGTTCTCTTCTGCCTTACATCATCCCCAAGGGTTATGTCACTATAGACGGTGCTTCTCTAACCGTTACTTCTGTCAATGATGCCGAAAGGACGTTCGGTGTTATGCTTATCCAACATACGCAGCAGAAGATCACCTTGGCAAAAAAGGCCAATGGCGAGAGAGTAAACATCGAGGTTGACATGGTGGGCAAGTATGTTGAAAAGAGCGTATTGGCTGCTCTGGAGGGTGGTGGTGGAGAAGCCATGCGGACCTTCGTCCAGAGAATTGTGGAGGAAACGCTCGTCAACAAGGGAATTCTACCTTTTGCTCCAGTCTCCAATGACAGTGGTAGTATGTAGTACTTAGACGAGGCCAGTATGTGCGTTATCTTTTGACTTTCAATGACCGCCAGTGTGGAAGCCAATTACCTTTTGATGCTCGGCTATAGCAAATACATCCGACAGTCAATGTCCGATAGACTATACCGTTAGTGACTAACTATTTTGTGGATACCGGTCCAAGTGCTACTTAGTGGTTCATTCTTTCAAGTACAGTAACCATCATCTGCAAACTTCCAGTACGCGCGGTAATCCCTAAAAGGCCTGACAACCTACTAGGTTTATTTTCATCGCGCGTTTCATGAAGGAACCACCGTTTAATAGAAAAGTGAGCGTTGCACTCATATGCTGCGACAGTCCATGAAACTTACACAGTGAATAGATCACCGCGAAACTCGACTATAATGGCGGTCATGCACCTCTTCGTTTTAATTCACCATCTAGACCAGCATCACCAACAAAGCAGCCGGTGCAGTCATCTCTCTCACCACCAGGCTTCCGTCCGACAGCCAAGGTCAGTTCAAATGCGACCAGTGCCCGGAGACTGTCAAGTTCGGTTTCATTGAACAACATCAACAAAGTAACACACTCTCGACCTGGGTCACCTTCGAAACCAGTTCGAAGTCCTGGTTCTTCCATAGTCACGAATCCCGTTAAAGCTCGCGTTACAGCGCGGCCTGCATCCAAGTCCACTACCACATCTCCCGTGTCCAGTACATCTCCTCTAGAGTCGCGTCAGCGATCATCCACCACCGTTGCGTCAAAGCTACGACTTCCGCCCCGGCAAGACCGACCACGTAGCGATAGCGTTGCCCCACATCATGCACAGTCTACCTCAGCATTACGGGGAAATTCACCATCGCCCCAAATTCTGCTCTCTTCCGAACCTCCACTCGTACGTGTTGACCCAGACCGTGTATCGCCATCGGCTCCCATCAAGATTAAATCCAAGGTTTCTGGATTAGCCAAATCTTACCATGGTACCGAAACAGATCCCGCTCGCTCGTTATCCCCACCATGGGTTACCACCAGGCCCACTCATACAAGACCACCCATACCTTCACTTTCTTCAAGCCTCTCATTAAACGCACCTCCAAGTCCTCCTAATTCGACTACGGTGCCAAATTTCTATCCCATAACGACCGCAGCTCCTGCTGCTAATCCCCATAGATATCCCTCGCCGCGACGCGGTCCCTCACCTACACTCTATCCATACCAAACATTCACTCCACCTGAAAGACCTTCGAAAGCAGCCAGGCAGGTCCTGAAAGCTAAGGTCGACCCTGCTTCCATTCCTCTTCCTCCACATTCACCACCAATATCCGCATTATCTTTATCTTCAAAGTCGTCTGTATCTAGAAGTTCACTGTCTATGGATCCCTCTCATGCAAGCGCGTCGACGCTCAACTCTCACATGAACAAGCGTTCGGATACTGAATCTGTTCGAGCCAATAATGGCCGTTTCATTCAGAGCGACCATGATGACACAATTTCGCTTACAACCAGTGCTCGACAATCTAGCCAAGGTCGGGACAGCGACCCTAACTCTGAAAAATCAGAGCACAAGGCGAGGGCTGCAGCCAAGTCTGATCGAAAGGTCATACCCACTCACCGTGTCATGAGTACTGAGCTAACTTGTACCGCAGATTGCCGACTTGGAAATAACGAATAAATCATTGCTTCTTATCAACGCATCACTTGAAACTACGAAGAACCGTCAAGCCAAAGAAATTCGAGACCTCAAGCGAAAACTTCGTGAATCTCGACTTATTCTTCCCCCTAGAGCATTCAGGGCCGTCGAGTCCCTTGCCCACGAAGAAGAAGAAGAAGAAGAAGGGGATGATGGTGATGATAGTGAGGAGGGTGAGGACGGGCCTGACGAGGCTTACGCAAGGGTGAAGGATATGCTAGAGGGTCTCTTAGAATCAGGCAGGAAAGCCTTGGAAAGGACTTCCGACGATTTCCGGCAGCACCTCTCTGCCAAAGTCTTGAATGCCGATGAAGTCCGCTCATGGAGAGATTCAGGGCAGGAATTTGACACTGTCCTTGATGACCACGGCAGAGGAGACAATGCGGAGATCCAGGTTACAGTCCACCTCTCTCCCTCACACGTTGCTGTGCCTGACAGTGATGCTGATGACCTTTCGGAGGACGAGGTCGAACGGCTAACCTTGGAACCAGATACTCCACCACCCTCCCATTTGCCTCCAATCAAGATTGATCATTTATAAGTTTATGGTGTCACGTTTATAACGCTCTACGTCCTGCTATGCTTCATTATGTAGACCTCGGAAATCATCTCTTGATACCCCACAAGCATTTCACTAACATCTCGCGTCCCCATCGCATTATCCAATATATTCCATCAAATCCTGAATTCCACGTTTCTAATCCCACGTTTCTAGTAAAAAGTCCTTGAAATGGTACTATTGTACGAAGTCAAATAATTCATTAGATCACTCATCGGCTATCTTCTGTGCACGCTTCGCGAGCTGGATGATTATATACATTAGACGTATTATCCTCAGGGCAGCTAATAGCACTTACCGCAGCAGCCAAGTCCATCTGACCAGCAGGTGCACTAGGTTTAGAGACCTTCGGTGGCGCAACGCCGGCACCTGGTCGCGGGGCTGTGGGTATAGGTGGCTTAGGAGATGGCTTGCTGCCGCTTGGCTTCGATGCGACAGGTGGTGGTACAGGTTTAGGCTTGGGGGCAACTGGAGGGGGTTTTACTCCTAATGAACTCGAAGGGCGGGAGCTCGCAGGTGTACTGCTTGATGACCCATTAGCTGACACAACTGCAGACTTCTTCCAAGGCACTGCGGAGCCATTTGATGGCGCAAGGCCAGGGAAAACAGCCACGGGCTTAGCCGACGCATCCGCTGTCAATGACTTCACAGACACGATCGAAACAGTTGGTTTTGAAGCTGAAGAAGCAGGGATAGGAGTGGCAGCGACTGCTAGCGGAGCTGAAGGTGGTGGTGGTGGTCGAGGTGGTGGGGAACGTGCGGCAGGCGCCGCTTTAGGTTTTGGCGGTATAAGTTCCAGGTAATTGTTTGGGGCCCAGCCCTCTTGCCCGTCCTTCCTCACAAGCCACCACCCATTCTCGTCCTTCTCAACCAGTTCCACGGTATCATCCTTCTTCAAAGATATCTCGCCTTCTTGACCCTCGAAAGCGAACTTTGCCTTGTATAATTCTGCCTCAGGCTCTTTGTGCGGCGGCGGTGGCGGTGGCGGAACTGAAATATGAGTAGAAGGCGCGGGGGCTGACTTAGGCGCCACTGGTGTTGGCCTGACGGCAGCAAATTGTGCAGATTTCCCTGGCAGTGGTTGGGTGGCTGGCTTCGGCCTGGAAGTCTTTCCCTTCTGGAATCGATCGTGAGAAGACAGAAATCACAATCACAAAACTCACATCTGAGGGGCCGCCAGCACGAAGGAGCTTTCCTTGAGTAATGGGTCTAACAATACCAGGTTTTCTTCTTGCAGCAGGTCGAGAGGTGCTCGATGAAGGTTCGCCAGACGGGACATGCACAGAGTGGCTCTTGTATACATCATCTTTTGCGATCGTCTCGTCTCTAACAAATTGTATCTGTGCCTTCTTGTCCTTCTTTTTCGCATATTCGATCCTTCCTAGCAAGTGAGACAAGGGTAAAGCGAGATAAATCAAACACGCACGACGGGCCAATCAAGACGCTGATACTAGCTTGCGTGAGCGTAAGAAGACTCGCGGTCAACTCCGTCTTGAAATAGCAGTGAAGAATCGGATCACCCTCTTCAGAGGCATTACAATTCAATGCCTGATATGGGGTTAGCGATACGCCAAGGACGGATAGGAGGACCAACCAGCCAATCATCCCTTAAGTTAGACATCGATATACTTTTGATAGTTACCAAGGGAATTTTGCGTTCAAGCGAGATACCATCCTTCTCAGAAGTTGCAGCGATGTACACAGCTTTTGCAGTCTACCATGACGCATGTCAGATGAAGGAATTTAATGAGGTACATTGATGCATACCACTACAAGGAAACGAGGGCTAGGTTTGCTGGACTTGAGCCATCTGGACACTAATATTTGCACTCTTGAGCTGAATATGGCCTGCTCCGCTGTGCGACATGTGAGACGACAAAACAGCATAAAAGAACTAGAGGGCTCACTACCAAGACCACAGACGGAGCGAAGGTCAGATCCAACGATGTTCTGGCCATTGACATCAAGATAGTCGCCCAGAAAACGGCGATAGCTGAGGAGACTGTAACGTCTGCGTTCTTTTCTTCCTGCCAATACGCGATGACCGTAGTCACGGACTTTGGCATATTCAAGGGCTTCTTTGTTGTTCTTCCAGAACCTCTGAATGCGTCTAGCGCACTCATTCTTATAGCGCCAGTAGTTTCTCCAGGCTCGCTGGATACGTGCTGCCATGTTATGCCAGTAACGATCACGCATAGTCTCTAAGGCAAATAGCTGTATTGACGATGTCAATTGAATTTTTTCAGGCTGTCGCATGGCGTACTCACTGTTTCTGGATTCTTGATAAAGGCCTTTGTAACCCCCATCTGCCATTCATCCTTGGCTATCCCCGTATCTTTGAGAATTTGTTCACACCCAGATTTCGCGTCTCCCTGCCATGTATATTCACCAGCGTACGACGTTGAAGGCGACAAAAGGTAGAAGCGTTCCACCATTTTTTCGAAGGTATTCCTATACGCAAATCCTGCGCGACGTACACGAATATTTTCCTGTAATCCAAGGTATTTGATTTGATGCAAGATGGCCTTTGTGTCATATTCGATCGGGCTACGGTTCTGGTTTGGTTTGATTGTTCGGATGTAAGAAGGCTGAGCTTTCATCAAATTATCCACCAGAGCACCTGCCGACGCCTTTCCAATATGTGAATGATCTGTTCCGACCGATAAAGTAGTAATGTGAAATACCTTGATCCTATCACCAGCAGTCGGTGGTCTCTTCTTGCTTGAGGGATCGGGTCTATCGGAGAACAATGTCTGAAGGAACTGGTTGCCGCTGCTACCAACCAAATCGAAAAGATCCTTCACTAGTGCGTCCTTGTTCTTGTCCGTCATGCCCGCGATGTTGTACATGACATCTCCGGCGTAGTGACGAACCAGAAACTGAGATCCCCGGGCTTCGAAGTGGGCATTGGAAGATAGCATGGCCGTCCGCTGGACGAAACTGTTATCTGCCGCAGCTGGATCGGCGTGCGCTGTTGCGCAAGCGTCGTTTAAAGCAGCGAATATTCCAGGGGGTTTGCGCTCTTCAATGAGGTCGCAGACAATCTTGTTGTTGAAGTATTTGATGGGATTCCACTTAATCTGCTCCCTGACATACTCCTCCTGTTCGGTCTTGAGTGTTAATTCGATAAAAATCTGCTGAAGTTTCTCGTTGACATAGTTGATGCATAATTGCTCGAAAGAATTATCCTGCAGAGTTCTGTAAATGAGGCGGTTCGGTGCGTACGATATGATTATACCTCGAAAATTTCAAAACCAAAGATATCCTGTCAATATGTCAATACCTCAATTGTTGGTCAAATCCATAGCAAAAGCGTCACCTACCAGGATACCAATGACTTGTGCCGAGGCACTTCGAGCCTTCATCGACACGTTGATTCTCGACACAATCCACTCGAAGAGATTATTGTAAATCGCTTTTGCAAGTGCGTCCCTTCCAGCGGTTGCTTGCGCAGGATTCAGGGGAACGTCGTAAACAGAACCTCGTCGTCCCCCTCGCTGAGTTTCAACGACTCTTGACGTCAGAACCTTCTGAACCATCGCCGAATCTACTTCTATGAGATACGCAATAAAATCTGTTATTCCAGTGTCAGAGATGGCCGAATTTCCATCATCCATCTCCTCAAATCTGACGTTCCCCAACCATAAAATGGCTGCGAGCATCCGAAAAATTTCGTTCTGCTCCTGATTACTGAGGCCAATGACCCCCATGGCGTTCTGACCATGTTTAAGTGATGGTGTAGAACAATAGACCAATACTCACTAGGGTATCCGCATAGTCGTTTGAGTCGTCGATGCCCTGAACTTCTAAGCAATTGCTCCTGCTGATATATTCGTATGCATCTGGACCCTGTAATCCGAATTGCTCTACAAACAGCCATGAGATACCAATATGGACAGACAGGCGAGACGCACCTCGCTGCTCATCTGAAGCAGCCTTTGTGAACTGATAGAAGATGTGGAAATTGCGCTCGTTCTCTAACTGCCCTACCACTCGGCCTTTCTCAAGGAGATAGTTCGTTATCTGGGCCCCGATCGGCTCGCCATGGGTATTGAACATGATCTCCAGATATTTACCCTGTGAGGCCATGAAATCAAGATCAAGGTACACATGTGCAACAATCATTCACTTACATGACGACTTGAATTATTATTGCGAAGAGTCTTTGCACAACCAAAGCTCTCCAATAGAGGATTGGTGGCCAATACCATTTCTTTTATCTCCTGTATACTGCTATCCTCCCCTCCTGATACAGCCGCGATATATTGCATGATGCGTTTGGCAGCCTCGGTCTTTCCAGCACCAGACTCGCCGGATATAATGACACATTGGTTTTCGTGGTATGCATTCATGTTATAGTATGCGGATTCTGCGATGCTGAATACATGTGGGGGAACTTCGAGTCGATTCTTGCCCTTGTACTTCTGAAGGGTTTCATCTGTATAGATTCCTAGATCTGAAAGGTATTTTACCCCAACGTTAGATAGCACATTTTGAACACATAGGGCCTCACCTTTAAAAGGGTTCACGGATATTAATACGCCGCCGATGTAAGTGTAGATCTCTCCGACAGTCCAACGCTTCTGAAGGTTGGTGTTGATGTTATTCTCGTCGATAGTTGTCAGAAGCGTCATATCGGACACTCCGGCTTGTTTCTTTTTAAATCCCTCTTTCCAATCTGCCTGTTTGTACAAATATGACGGCCGTTCATAGGTGTAACGATGTCTGAGAGCGCACCTTGGCAACTTTAGTCACTCCAGCTGACTTCGGGGCAGTCTTCTTGCCCGCCTTCTTAGATATAGCCTACATGCATATACTAATCAATCATTCGACGTTTCAAGGCAACTTGAATCTCACCATGGCCGACCCCCCTTAGCTTGAATGAGAGAACGTAGTTAACTTGCTGGGAGAAGTCCGCAGGCACGGCGGAGAACGGCAATGCCCGTGGCAGTACTATTAACCCGGTGGTCAGCGTGAACTCCCAAATTGAAAAGGATAAGTCTCAAGCTATTCTTACCACGCGTTTGGACAACCAGTGCCAGCACTGCCTCAATAGAATACATTCTACCCTCACTGCTTATCATTTCACATTTATTACAAAGTACAGTACAAAAGCCCATTAAACAGCGTACTAGCTGTTCGCTGGTCTTCTAAGCTCGATCAGGTGCCTCAAAACCTCAGCAGCAGGGGTAGTTACAGCAGTGTCAAATGATCCAAGTTCACCTTTCAGCAATCTAGTCATGACATTCATCAAACCAGCCTTCTCTACTTCCTCTGCGAACGATATACGAGGGAGAGCACACTGGGGATCGAGAATGTGATGAAGGCATACGACTCCACGATGTACAAGCCCTGGATTTACGGCTACTTCGTCGTCATCAGGGTCGTCGTCCTCCAGAGTTACAGATGGGTCAATAAGACGTGCAATAATTGAGAATGCTCGGTGGCGATCCAACTGGAGTTCAAATACTGCCTGACAAGCAGTAGACACGCTGGTCACGGTTGCCAAAGCACCGGACGCAGCGAGTCTCGTTGGAAGATCATCCATGTCCGACATCGCAAGAAGTACTTGTAATTTGGACTTTGTTGCATGGACATCCGGAGAACCACCATACCTCGAAAAGGCCTTCTCCGAACCCCCAATAAGATTACATATCAGCTCGGTGGCTGCCCGACGGATGAGTGTATGCTCCTCTAGCATGAGGAGCTCAACTTTGTTGAGAAGGTGCGGGGTGCTATAGATGCGATCGGCACACCCTGTGCTCTGTGAAGCAAGATTCGTTAAGGCCATTAAGGCTTCGAATTGTTGTAGGAGGTTTGAAGATAGATGGAGCAGCAGTTGGGACAGGGGCCGTATTGCATCAAGCATAGCGCCATCACCGGGCCCGAAGACTTGAAGGGGGGAAGACGTGATGGTCAATTTCGCTAAAGCTTGGATCGCAGGGAGAAGAGAGGTATCAATCGGTGTAGATGATGATGTAGAGGACTGTATGACACGAGAAAGACTCCGTGCACCTCCGCTCTGGAGGACCTTGCCTCTGTTATCTTTGTCCTCTACGATGCTCAGGTAGATTTTACCCAATGCCAGTCTGATGCCTTGACTCTCTACACCAGAAGCCACAGACAAGACATCAAGGGCGCCACTTGCAAGAGCTTGACGGCATCTGGACCTAACTGTAACATCATCTTCCAATGCATTTAGCGGTTCCTCGGACATCGTCCTGTTGGATCCATTTCCAGCTTTAGCCATGCGTTTCAGCTTAGCTACCTGCGCGTCTTCCTGACTGAGGCGAGGACGGTAGGCACAGAGGTTGGATATGATAAGAAGGATGCCAAAGAGGAGGCTAGAATTACTGGTAGATGTTGGCAGTGGCTTACGTCTAGGGACAAGTGTAAAGAGCTGCTGCAAGAACTTAGGATCATTCGCCAGGGCATGTTTGACGTCTGGGTCAACACTGAGGTATGCCAGGCCTTCAACGACGTCGTTGAGGGAGGATAGAGAATCTTTGTCACCGATGACCATTCCTTTCAGCAAATTGGCTAGCTCCATATCCTTGGAGGTAGATTGCGTGGCCTGAGACGCATCTGCGCCTTCTGAGGCATCCGTTGCCACCCCTCGAGATAATTTTACGAGGGCGATAGCTGCTGCTGCGCGCAAGTTTTTATCGGTAGCCTGACGTGACTTGTTCCCAAGCCAGGTGACGATTTCCTCGGGTATCAGAGTCCGGCATGCCTTGTGTCCACTAGCCTGGCCGATTATACGAGCGACCTCTAGGGCAACTGAAGCTGATGATGGAAATAAATCAAGGGCATCTGTCACATATTCGACCACGCCATCTTGCGCGAAAATACAGGAAGCGGACTGCCAGTTGACGTGGAATAATGCAGAGAAGAAAGAAAGTCCAATAACTATAGCATCCTGTTCCTGATGATCGGATATACGGGAGATGATGAGATGCTGGAAAACTTTCTCTAGTGTTTCCGTGGCAGTGTTTGTGGATCCAGACTCCTGAGGGTTTTGCGATCGCGTTCCTTGACAGAACGCAGAGAGCACGAGATACGCTTTCGAGCGCGATGGTTCTGGCTGAGAAGGCGCGAAAGCTTCTACGAGGTAAGAGAGTTCATCAGGAAGGAAGGCAGCAACATCCTGAGATTTTCTCATTAAGAAATCTAAGCTGAGATCTCCATTCTGAGCGTTCATTGCGGTAAGTGATGAAGTAGTGTAGACTTGAAACAAAATGAGGTGTTGGAACTTGTCGGAGGACGGTAGCGGCAGTCAGTTTCCGAACACAGTGCCACAACGGATCATTTCTTTCGCAACACCACCATCCAAATTCGTCGGTGGACCATTGGGACGGCGAAGTCTTATGGATATCGCTGACCATGAAGATGCAACAAGCGCCCTGAATTCATTCAAGGCGACCACCATCCAGTCAGGACATACAGTTCTGCTCAGACTACCTAGTGGCGAGACCAAAGGCTTCAAGGTAGAAAAGGATGCGTGAGTGGTTTTTTGTCTTGATTCCTACCATCTCTGAACTGAGTTGAGAAGCACTATCTCTATAGGAAGAGTCGGCTCCTTTCGCGCAAACGAGCTGATCGGCCATCCATACGGATTGACATATGAGATTCGTGGCAAAGAACTCACCGTCCAGCCGCCTCATACTCTACAAGAAGTAGGTAAGGGATTTGATGAACACTCTCAAATTTTCTATTCATGACTAGTGGTAATGAAGAGGAAACGGATGCTACAAATGAGCTCATCAACGATGGTGAATTCGTGCAGCCACTTACCCTCGGCGAGATTGAAGGGTTGAAAAAGTCTGGCGTACATGCTTCTGTGCGTCTTGGGCTTCATTTCATGCAGAATCGTAGTATAATCTATTTTCCACAGGACATCATAAAGGCTCAGATTGAACAACATGCCAATTATTCCCTGAAAACTGAATATAGCAAGGAGAAATATAAGCAACGGAAGGAAGCCAAGTATGTTATCTCTATGTTATCCCAGATTTTTTGACAATTACATTGATGTGCCGAGCAGATACTCAAAGACCTTCAGTACGGTTGAGCCAACAATTTACAATGTTTGCGACCACTGGTTCAAAAAAGACCAGAACAGGATTCGTGATATCAGACCAGACACCCTGTCTCAAATACTGAATCTGGCGAATGTTCGCCCGGGCGGCAGGTACATTGTTGTTGACGAAGCGTCTGGCCTTCTTGTATCAGCAATCCTCGAGAGACTGGGAGGTGTGTGAGTTGTGGGTTCTGTGTGAGAAAAAGATCTGATTCTTGCAGGGGAGGGACGACTAATTTCTATCTGCGATGTTGATTCGCCACCTGCATATCCTGTCATGACTCTGATGAATTTTCGCAAAGACGTCGTTACAAACATACACTCATCATTAAATTGGGCAACTGCTCAGGAAGATTATACACCAGGTTAGTGAGATTCTCTGCAGATGCGCCATACTTCCCATTAAGTGGCAGCTGTAGCACAAGAGTCATCGCCGGAAGTAGGAAAATCAGAGCGACATAGGATTCGCCTCGACAAACGGAAGAATGCGGCAGATACTCTTTTAAACGCAAGGGAGGAGTTATTTGCTGGTGAATTTGACGCGTGAGTGCCATTAAATGATGTCATATCTCCTCCGACGTCTGGCAGGCTTTTAATCGCTAGCGATTACGACCCGCTGGAGATTCTACAAAACTTGATTCTATATGTAGCGGGATCAGGATCTATAGTCGTTCAGAGCCCATTTAGCCAGGTATGCTGCGCTTTCCATTTAATGAACCAATTCAGCTGGATAACTGGACATTAGCCTCTCACGGAACTACAATCGAAATTGCGTCTTGATCCAGGCTATCTTGCACCATCAATTACGGAGTCATGGCTGCGACGCTATCAAGTTCTACCAGGTCGCACACATCCGACGATGAGCACTTCAGGATCGGGAGGTTTCTTATTACACGCAATCAAAGTGTAAGTGTAATAGCAGGTCAACTCGCGAACGAACGCTTACCGATTGCTTGCCAGATATGATGACCCGAATGCTTCCAAAGTGTCATCTCATCGACAATCAAAACGACAGAAGAAGGAAGCTGATGAAGGAAATCTAACAGTGCCTCAAACCCTAGAATCATATCAAACTACAGAGCTCGAGGAAAAAAACGCGGCAGTCGCTGACCAAGCTAGCCTAACCAACGAGATGGAACCAACAGGCTAGCCTTTTGGTGTTGGGTTAACTGATAGTACAACAGTGGTACAACGGTAACAAAGTAGTGTGCCTTCTACAATAACTAATATCAAACAAAACTACTCATTGATTTAACCTCAGATATCAGGGCTCAGGAAACATTGTGGCAACCACCTGAACATGTTAGTGAGCAACGTTCTCTGCAGTTCAATGAAAACACACCTCGTCGACAATGGTGTAGGCAATATGCTGGTTCAAGCGCTTGTTCTGCAGGACAGCAAATATTCGTCTTGCTCCTCGCCGAGCATTTGACCGACCTATCATGTTCGCAGCAAGATCTGTAGATCGCGGTGTTAACTCCATATTTGTAGGGGAGAAAATCCCAGCAAACCTGGCACTAAAGCGGAGAGCCTACGGTTTGCCTCATCGCGACTACGTGTTATCTCCTCAGTTGACCGTGGTTGACCAGGCGGTTTCAGCTTACCACCCGGCCATAGAGAGTCTTTGAAAAAGGCCAAGATAGGCATAATGCGACTTTCTTCAAACATCGACCTGATACTTTGACGGATTTGCCTTTAATCACGTCAGGGGGGGCGAAAAGACTATGCAAAGTTTGGTCTCACCGCTCAATGGTACCACCCAGTACTTGCTGGAGAATGATCACAATCGCTTGTCGTCGGAGCCAGTTGTCCTTCTTGTTCAGCTCAAAGATAGCGAGGACAAGGTCGCATATAGGAGCAGAGAATGTCGATGTGCTAGTTTCTCCCTCCAAAGGACGCAGGTCACTAGACATGTGCATGAACGTGTCCTCCGACGTGAACTTCCCGAATGCCTTCAGTGCCTGAGCGACGAGGTCCTCATCGTGGACCGCAGATCCGACTATACCAGCAAATTCTGCGGCCTGTCGGGTAAGCCTTTGAATCATAACATCCAACATCGACGGGCCAAAGAACATATCATCAATACTCTCTGCCACTGAGCGATAAACAGATCGGACTAGGTTTTTCCCTGAAAAACTAGCGGTTCCTTTGGGGACATCCTCTTGAACTTCAGACGCAATGAATGGTGAATCACGGGACAGAAATGCGCGAAGGTCATTGCTTTCGCAGACGACAGGTATGGTAATCAAATTCTACAACCGTCAGTATGCGCGAAGAAAGTAGACTCCGGCGAGTTCCTCACCTGCAAATATTTCTCCAGGGCTTGTCTCCTTGTGTCCACGAAACTACCGGTCAGCGACGTAACAAGTCTCTTGCCTGGGAAATCGAGACCCTTGACAAGCGCGTACCGATCGCGCAGTTTGTTGTGCATCCTAAGGAACTCGTTGTATCTCCTTGCAACAACCCACCCAGAGGAAAATGTTCCATCGGGTGCGAGCTGCTGGACTTCAATGAGGTATCGTACTACGGATTTCCCCCCTTCTTCTCCCACTGTCGAACTAACGATAGAAACCTTCGTTCGATGGGAGATAAGACGGTTTGCGGATTCTTGCTGTTCATATTGTGTCTTCTGGAAACGCAACTCTCGAAGTTCGCGGGTCATGGACGACTTCGATTTTTGAAGTAAACGCAGTTCTTGAGCGTCGCCTGTTAGCTCTGCCTTCTTGATAAGAATGTCGAGCATGGCATCATGGGCTTCTAGTTTGGTGATCTTGTCGCCAAGGCGTGCAATCTCGTATGAGAGCTGAAGGTCTCCAGGTCCGGCTAGCTGAAATGTTCCCTGCTCCGTATCTACAGAACCTTCAGCTCTGTCGTCATCTTCTTCATCGATCATATCTTCTTCATCACCGAAAATGCCCTTCTTGTTGTCGAGTGAAGTCGCGCTGAGGTGACGATTTCCGCCTCTATCCTGGCCTCGGGGGAGGAAACTGTGGGGAAGTTTCTGTGTGGCAATGATGTCCGTCAGCGCGGCCTGGATGGCTCTCATTCTTTCTGCTTCATCTGCACCCCGGGCATCTTCTGGATCATCGAAGAGAGGAGCTCTGGATGTATTTGATAATGTATCTGAAACCGGGGACATGAGCACATCAATGTTGGTCCGTGAGGCAGTGGTTGGACTGGTCCGTGGGTCATCTACGCGCTGAACCACAGAGCTCAATGAAGGGGAAGATTCAGAGCGGAAAATATGGACAGATCCAATGCCGAGAGGACGTGACGCCGGCAGTGACGGGGGTGATATCGAACGTCCCGAGATACGACCTGCAGGGGTCTCCAGCAATTTAGCACTAGCCCGATTGAAATCCTCGATTATTCGGAACCACAGTTCAGATCTTTGAAGGTCCTCGAAGTCTTGTTCCATCACCTGTTGAACCTGTCTCTGCGCCAACATGACGCTACGACGGACTTTCTTGTCCTCCAAAGGCCCCGGAAGGATCTCACTTTGTGCATAAGAGCGTATGCTATCGATGTCCTTCTTAGAGATGGACGATAAGGCAGGATGGGATGGTGTAGCAGAGAAGTAAAGGTCGTTAATCATTGAAATGTCCTCTTTGAGCGTCGAGGAGGTTGAAGGACCTTGTAAGGGTTCGTCTTCATCCCCAGATGAACTCGAGTCTATTGACTCCAATGGGTTTTTGAAGCTTTCTACTGTTAGCCAAAACTGAACCAGGAGCGAGCGGTGTCGACGATCCATAAACTCCATGAAGTAGGAGAGTGATGTCGGGTTGCTTAGAATGTCGCGTAGAGTGACTTGGGTCCGCGAACCAGACTCTGGCGAGGCAGCAGACTTCTACGGTTGCCTGTATAAATAGAAGTTACGAATTTCGTAGGGCAGCGCTTACCGAATCTTCGCCACCCAGTACTACTATTCGTTGTTCGACAGTCCGCTTCGCAGTATAAAGCCTGTCAAGGAAAGCTACTACGTCTTCTGTCTTCTCGCCACTTATCCAATCCTCCTTCTCGTGATTAGCTGTGGGAGCGTCAACATAAGATGTAGTAAGCGACTTGAATAAACTAACCGAGAAGTAATCTCGTCCTCCGAATTTCTCCCATGATATCATTCTTCAGGCGACGAGCATCCAGAAGTGACGAACAACGATTGATACTTCTGAGAAACGACTCAAATTGTCGCATATCAGTTCTAACCGTGATAGTGTCTCCAGTTGAAATTGTTGAAGGAAGGCGGCTGTGCCGGCGGGGTGATTGTGCTTCTAGAACATTTCTCACTTGAGATATGAGTTTCCTGGGTATGCATTGTTAAAGGTACAGAAAAACATTCGAGCACGTTTGCCACATACTGCTGGTGTATCGCGGCGCCTGCCTATCTCGGAGTCAATGATTGCGCTCACACTTGAGTTGAGGATATGACATACCACTTGCTCAATCATCCGATTCCAAAAATCAGGGTCGCTCACCATATCCATAATTGGATACAGCACTGCGCAAACCAAGATTTCTCGGACAACTATCCTCAGAGCCTTACTCTGAGCCTCCTGTTCCGGAAGAACATGCGAGAGCATCCGCTCCGCAATGGTTCTGAGATGTATTTCTTCATTCTGTTTTGTAAACGTAGAAGACAGATTCTCCACTGCAGGATGTAGTTTTCCGCCCTTCCCTGCGTATCTACTTGCCAACAGCATATCCAACTCTTCGGATTGCGTGAGACGGCGTTCTAGGGCTGCACCGCGAAGTGCGACCTCCGATTGGCGGAATTGCTCGATATGCGTAGTGACTTTGGGCAAAATTCGCTTCACTAGGAGAGCAGAGAGGTCGACTGTTGCGGTTGTTTGCAGAAGCCGCTCAAGGGAATCATGAAGCACCGAAGAAACTGCCGTAGGAAAGGAAGGGGATGAAGATATGTCCTTGTACCAGGTGAGCACGAAGTCGCGTACGACAAAAATCATGATATCGTTAAGGGTAGATGACACAACAGGTAGGTCAGGGTACAAAGGTGATAATGATTGTGGAGTTTTCTGAGACCAGTTCGAACGAGTGAGGACTGCCTGCCATGCTGCGGGAGTTGAGAAGGCAAGAGGTCTAGCTGCATATGTGAGCGCATTCCTATGAACCGGTTTCTTGTCCAAGGCAACTCCAACAAGAATGTTCGCGAAGAAACACGAGAACGCCACGAAAAGTATGATGACAGGAGAAAGGAGGATGAGGGCTATCGGAGACGAGAACGCGCGTGCGACGACAGGAAATACAACAGCGAGAAAGGCGACAGCCAAAGCAATCCTGGCACTAATGAATGAGTGCATGTCACGGCGAATTTGGTACATCACTGTTTACTAGAGCACATTATTCGTCAGAGTCATGTTGAGATACGCAGTGAGGTCACCGACCGTTCGCTCAGAGGACTTGAGCAACACTTGCCATATCCAGCATCACTCTTTCAGCTTGAAATCCACGATGGTTCAAAGGCTATAGAGCTCGATATCCCTCAACTTCAGAAGCGTGCCAAATTGAAACCCTTCAGTACTCAATGAGTTTTGTGTGAGGAAGAATCTGAAGTGTGCGGCATGCCGGGGTTCGGACTGTGATTGACTCAGCCTACTTGGTGCTACCGTACGCATACACATTTTTTGACGCCTACAGTGACAAGTCTAATCAAGCTGCACAGTGCACTTGCGCAACGTGCCGTTCTGGCTATTGGCATTGTGGCATGGCGTCTTCTACTATACCACCGCCTCTCTCCATGCTTGAAAGTTTTCTTTGCGGTGGACTGGCAGGATGCATAGCTGTCACTGTCAGCAATCCTGCGGAAGTAGCCAAGACACGTTTGCAACTCCAAGGTACGTTCAATGCGATGGTGTGAGCGATAAAATATGATATATTGACACGCGGGCAGGTGAGCTTGTCAAAGGTGGAGGGAAAAGAGTCTATAAGGATGTTTTGGATGTTTTGGCAAAAACTTGGAGAAACGAGGGCATCCGGGGCTTGCAAAGAGGACTTGGGCCTGCGGTGTGTAAATATGCCTGTATTCATTTTTTGCTCTGTCTGATAGCCTTCTAGTATGTTTACCAGGTCAGATATCACAAAACTTCAGGCATACTTTCTTGACATTGATATTGATACCTTGTGTCAGATACTTTTGAATGGATCACGTCTAGGTAAGCGACCAATTCAGCCCTGCTGTCCAGACCTTCTCTTAGTTACTACACAGGGTTCTACGAGCCGTTCCGACAAACAATCAACCGCTCGATAGGCAGATCTATCACCGACCAGATACCATTCACTTCCGTAGTAGCTGGTGCTGCAAGTGGTATAATAGGAGGTATAGTACCATTAAGTCCAACACGAGTACGGTCTTTTGATTCGCGTGTATCAGCTTCGTTCGGGAACCCACTCTTCCTGATTAAAGCACGCATGCAAGTACGTGCGACATACCCTTGCATTATTCAATAATATCGATGACAGCGTCAACAGGCATATTCTCCTATATTACCAGTTGGCACGCAACATTACTACAAGAGCTCGTTTGACGCATTGGCCACTATTTTCAGGACAGAAAAGTTTTGGGGTCTATTACGTGGTATGGATGCAGCCATTCTGCGGACAGCTATGGGATCCTCGGTTCAGCTTCCTACGTACAAATGGACTAAAAACCAGCTTGGCTCGCACGGATTACTTCCCTCAAACAGCATATTAACTTACCTTGTTAGTTCATCCGTGTCTGGAGTTTGCGTGGTGTGTTTTTACTCGTATCAAGCAGCCAAGCATTGTAGTCTGACACCTCGTAGTGCATTGTCATGCAGCCTGCTGACACGGTTAGTTGGCTCCCTGCTTGAAGTGAAAAACTTGGCCTCATCTATATTCACGCCCAGGCCCTAACCCGGGTATACAACCAACCAACAACACGCACGCCCGATGGTCGTTTATCAGGGATACTGTATAGGAATCCCATCGACTGTCTCTGGAAGACTTTCAGGACCGAGGGCGTGTTCGGGTGGTACAAGGGTATGTAGCGGCGGCATGCATACCGCGACAAGTCTTATTAAAAATATCCGTCTAGGCTCAACTGCACAGTTTCTTCGTGTTGCGCCTCATACGTGAGTTCTTGGCTTGCAAGATTCATGCCCTTCTGACTGTCATTCATAGCATCATTACCCTTACTGTGAACGATATCATCTTAGGTTTGTATAAGGACATCCGTAATCGTAGATCGTGACCTCAACCTGATATCTTTCTTCATACTGAGCGCAAGCCTACAGAGGACTGAGTGCGTCGTATGGTAGTTGACGTGAGGACCTGTGGTGGAAGGCAGAATCTGTTCGTTTCAAACAAACACCGTGACGAACTCCGGTACAGTGTGGGTCACACAATTCGGAACAGAAAATCAACTTACCTGTTGAACGCCTGTTCCTTGAGAACATCCTACTGCAAAGTGTCCTTGGGTCTGATATATTGATCACTCACTTTCGCCACTCAGAATCATCTTTTCCATCTGAGAGAAGGTACCGCAAGTCAAACGGTCGGCAACTGAAATTATGTGACTATGATTCGACAATCGCAGAGAGTGGGATCATGATGGGAGCACAAGGGAGCGCCGAATGTCTGTGATGTACGAGCTGAGTGCTGTAAGTTATTTGTATCGATCAACTCCCCAGTAATTCTGCCGGAGCACTGAAGCCGGCTCCCTCGTCAGCTTGTGGTACAAGTCCATTGTGGACTTAAATTGTGGATGCTTGCCGGCCCACATTCCACTGCATCACGTACCCATAAAAGGCACTCCACTTGTTTTCTATCTTTCTTTTATACAAGCTCGTCAGTCCGACGACCTAGCACTATTTTTCTCTATCTCTATCTATCGCGCACATCTCAGCACCGGCTCCTTCCCGGGACACTTGACATGGACGAAGCTACGCTCCGTAAGCTCACCCGCGTAAAGCTGCAAAAGCTCGCGAAGGTGTGTATCTCATTTTCTTTCCTGAATACCACAGTAAATAACCAGAAAACAGGAAAATAAGATCAAGGCTAACATGAAGAGCGAGACAATTATCCAAGAGCTCCTAAAGCTCTACGAAGTTGTTCAATCGCAGTAGGTTTTCCTTCATGGTCAGCGTAATGAATTGTTCTGATAGTGGCTCAGGCAGGATGAAGGGAGTGAAGAGCCTCCGAGGAAGAGGTTGAGAACTAGCGTGCAAGACCAGCCTCCTTCTGGGTCAAGAGCTAGCGAGGATATCCCTCCAGTCGCTGGTCCATCGACACCAATCATGGACGTAACTGTAGACACAAGTCGTGAGTGTCATGTGCCATGTCGCAGTACAAAAAATCTGACATTTGTCTAGTTGATAATCCTCCCACCCAAAAAGATTCTCAGAAATCTGCGCTCAGTACAGAAAAAAGTACTCTGATTGCAGTAGCCACAGATGCTGCCGACGTCGCCGCTGTAAATTCAGCAGCAATATTGCAAGGCCCTTCACCGGTGCCGGAAAGTCACACTGGGCACCCAGCTCCGGACGATGACACTAACGATACTGATTCCTATTTATCCTACCCGAGTCAGCATGACTCCCACCGTAACTCGCGTTCAGGAACGCCCCCGCTCGAAACAACACAGATGCTTAACTGGACAGTGAGCATTATGAACCAGGTCACATCCGGTGATCGGCGTGTTCTCGCTCAGGCTGCCGCTCTGCGCAATAGAGCGAAAATGCTGAGGGAACAGGCGAAGAATGTGAGGGATGTGGTACGCGCAGAGCGAGGACGACGTGAAAGATTGGAAGCTTACTTCACGTACTGGAGGGAGATATCGCCTACATGGCCAACGGGATGGATATATGATGACGAAGAGGAGTAGATTAGAGAGTATCCGAGGACCATCATGATGACATGACATATGACACCTTGATTACTGTAACTTACGGAGACCCAAGAAATCTGGTTTGCGCTTTCTGAAGGACGAAAGGCGTCTGATAAAGAATTTGTAAGCCCTCATTCGAGTGCAAAGAGACTACCCAAAATTCAAATAGATAAGAACTTTGTAAGTCCTGCACGATGTCAGTAAGCACTGTAAGTACCGTAGACTATAACCTACCCCGGTAATCAATATGAAGAGACTGGGGAAAACAGGAAAAAGGGTAGCGCTAAGCGAATGTAGTGTTTTCTAATAGTGTGGTAATTATGTCGAACGAAACGAACGAAAGTATTATATTGACGAGTTGGATTTCCAACACTCTCAAGGACGTAAATTGAACACCATCCTCGAGTTATTCAGAGAAAGCTGACTCCTCTGTGATATGCACAGTCATCGGCTCCATACTGAAGCCCTCTCGTACATCTTGCCCTCGGAAGAGGCTCGTGAGAGTACCTCTTGCTTCAGTTAACTTTTCTGCCGGCGAGTTTCCATCTACATCGAAGTGAACTTGCAGAATGATGAGGCAGAATGTGATCCCCTGGATAAAATTGCTATGAATCGCTTGGGTCGCAAGTTCTGTAAACTCACCACGATGGGTGTGATAATGGCCAGCATGGTATATTGGGCGTTGGATCCAATGAAGAACGTTAAAAGGAGTACAAGGATACTCATAGAATAAAAAGCGCCGCTCTCGATGATGACAACAAAAACGGGTAGAAAGGCGGCAAAGCCCTCTGGCACAAAATAGCGAGTGCGATAGATGCGCCAAGCATTCAAACCTGCATGACTATGGTCATCAGGAGCCTGCAGATTAGATCCAGTCGACATACTGGTACTGGTAATACTGAGAATCATGGTTAATGTATCGAATGTGGCGATACACCCATAGTCAGCGAGGGAGATATTAGACAGCGGATGGGCCTGAGAAAGGGACCCGATACCATAGAATCCAGTGGCTGAGAAATATTTCGGGATAAGACAATGGTCGAATAGTACCTTTCGAGATACTCACCTATGCTGGCTAAGAGTATGATACAGCCAGGAATGGCAACTAACAGACTTCTGTCGTTGAGCATATAGCATCGCCAAACCTACGGCCCTGCTCAGAGGGAGAAGTAAACGTGACATGTAAAGAAGCTCACAACTATTGCATCGGCGAGAATGGTTTGCGTGATGCAAAGTGCCGTTGATGCAACAAACAATGGTGAAGCAAAGTTGGCATAGTAGTCACTTGCACCAATCGTATCCACCTTGAATATGAATGCATCTAGACCTCGAACGAAATCGATGATTAGATGCTGAAAGTAATCGTGTTGAGCTATTCCCTGAAGAGGTTTGACTACATCCAGCGACTTACGGCCGTTGCAATGCAGAGCAGCAAGGTTGCCACTGGGAGAAGGAGTTGTCGTTTAATGCCGGTCTTCTTGAGCAGGATGAACAACGTGAAACAGTATAAAGTAAAGAACACGCCTGTTTTGGATAGCAAAATTTAACACTATGACCTTTCCGCTGGTGGCCGGTTACGCACCATATAACAAGGTGTCCAGAAACAAACCCAACAAAGCAGCCATATCCATAGGTATGGCCATGATTACGGTCGTGCCACTGACCAGAAAAGCTAAAGACTCGAGAATATATACGTTTCCTCATGAGAAGCTGTGTTGAATCCATATGAGGGAAGTTCATGATCAACGCTCCGAGTCATGCAGGGAATTCTGATACCAACTGACGCTGAATGAAATTGCCGGCCACCTCCTGCCACTATCTAACCATTTTGTGGCACAGTGGGCGAATTGGCTCCTGTGCCATTCACAATCATTTGTGAATAACTTGCACTCGATGTACTGTCACGGGGCCGCCGCGCGCGGACCCGCAGTCGGATACAACATCCGATGGCACGCTCACATTCTGTGCGTGGACATACACTGGCAGAGCCTATCAGCGTATGTACATGATCCGATGGCAACTGGATAGAACATACATGGTAGATAGAAGGTCGTACAGAACTCATGGTTGAGCGTTGAAACTTAACATAGCGTACAGTCTGAGCGAGAGCAGACGCATAACTTGTGCTGTATGATCGGAACTTCCTCCGGCACGACCGGCACCTATCAAATTTCAAACTCCTCGCTTCGCCCTGCCACGCCACTTGTGCAACCGTGGTAGTATACGCCAGGCTGGTCACGAGCCTACACGGTAGATGCTGGCATAGCCTAACCAAACAAAAAAATACAGCCACCAGGCTGATCCGGACAAGGTACGTTTTTCACATAAAAAAGTGAACCCGACCCGGATTGAACGGATGACCTTATGGATGTCCAAACTCAGCTGGAATCATACGCGCTACCACTGCGCCACGGGTTCATGTGAATACTGGCTTCATATATTTAATAGTACTAGGATTTCGAGCTGACCAGATTCTGAACAGCATACTCTCCTAGTGTATTATACAGACAGTCAGCGTTTCAACGGCAAATCGTGAGTGTTGAAAGGCGCAGTGGTATCTACCCTCTAGCTAGTAGCTTATTTATATCTATCAACGCAGGTAGATTCAAGTCCTACTCCAAAATCGATTCATTCCTACTGATTGAAGACACAAAAGTATATCAGTAAGTTCCTCGATATTCAACACGGGATTGAACCATCACAAAGGTAAAATGATTCGGATACGGGGAATCGAACCCCGAGCAACCGCGCGCCCCATGAAGAAGGAGAAATGAGAGGCGGATATGTTACCTTTACACCATATCCGAATGACAGAGCCATTGTATACCGTATTACAAGCTTCAGCGTCAGCGGCTTGAGCCTTTTTGAATGTGCGTCGACAAAATGAAGATTACCTGCAAAGTTGGCTTTAAACATATGATATCATTACACTTCAACCTACACTACACCTATCAAGAAACCTTACTCTCCCATGACGTTCAGTAATTGGCCGCTCATGCTAACCTTTTCCACCTAGAATTCTTTGTGGTGGCAAGGTACACTTCAGATCCAGGGCCACGGTCCATCCAGGCAGATATTTGCTTGGGCATCAAATTTGTCACCTGGCGTAATCGTAAGACGAGAATCGTACTGCTCTACAAAAACCATCACTCACGAGGAACTTCTGGCCCAATTTAAACTCCCCTGCTGAGGATCCTTCAGCAACCAATAAGTTGAGTACATCCCAGACAGTTAGCTGGGCTTTGCGACCAATATCGCCGCCTCTTGTGGGTGCATATGCATCTTCACGATGATAACACGGAAACTGCGCACTTCCCGAGCGGGACATTTGTCCTGGGGGAGCGCTCGGTGAGAACAACTTCGTGTAAGTGTCAAACTTACCTGCAATTCTCGCTCGATATCTCCCGCGACAGCTTCACGATCCTGAAGAAGCTTCTCTCGAATGTGTGCAGCAAGACTGCCTGCTTCAAGGCGGCTAAGCCGTGAGAGTATCGCCTGGGCTTGGTGACGGTCGCTCTCCTCCAAGGATTCATATAAATCGTCAAGATTGTCCGGCATTTCTAAAATAGCGCGTGAGCAACACACAGCTTTGGTCACGGTCTTCTCACCTTCGCTTTTGACATCAAAGCCCGGACCCACACGTTGTTCAAGCCTATCTACAAACCCCATCATCAACGCCGCTCGTCTTTCAAGGTCTGACCAAATCTTTGAGGCAGCGACTTCGCGCTTCCTCTAATATAGAATGTAAGCGCTAGCCTTGGTGCAGAGCTCTTCATCTCACCTTCCATTGTTCACTCAAGGCACTTTCATCCTTGGCACTGCGGGGACCCTCCATCCGCTTTCCGTTTTCGTCTTCGAAGAATTCGATGTATGCGACGGGATGAATCTTTGAACTAGAGTAAGCTACGTCTGGGTGTTACACGCTCGTCCTACCTTGATAATTTCAACAGCTGCAACGGCCACGTTTCCACCATCCGCTGTGAGGCTGTTTAGCATTGCAATGAATGGACTTCGCTGGAAGCCAAGCTTTGCGTGCCAGGGGGCCATATGGGACGAGTTGCCTGTCAGCACCAGGACACTTGAATCATATGCCTCGAGGACTTCTTGTCCATCTTTGCGCTCTGCAGAGAGCTGCACAAAAAGTCAATTAACATCATGATGTAGGGTAGCTCCAGTCGCTTACCCTGGCTCCAGTGACAGCGATCTTCCTGCCGATCTTGATATGACCCTTACGGATGGCTCTCGCAAGCGGCTTATCGACCCTCGCGCGCAATCTATACCATCCGTCTGTCACCTCTAATTCGGGATGTGAAGGAATGGGAAAACCGTCGTCAGTTTCTCCGACTGGTGACCAAGTCACATTTGACACGCAAAGCACCATCGGGGATGCAGCAGGCGCATCTTTTGTGGTAATCAGTCGTAGTGGTGGTCGTGTTGACCCGTTCAAGTCTCGTTCGTATCTGCGCCAGCGGTTAGTCAGGGAAGAAACGGTTAGGTAGATAGCACAAACCTGTACAGTAGCTGGCGGATCACTTCAGGCCAGCACCATCGTTTGCGATCGGGATCGGACTCTGCTTCTGGCTCGAGTGAGACCATTCCAGCGAGCTTCCAGAGGATAAGTGGCCAATGGTTGTTAATCCATTCCTGTGTGGCCAACGAACACCCTCTTGCGTAGAGTTCTTCTAAAGCGGCAGTAGGTCCGAGAGGTTTCGCATCAGAGGGCCGAACACCTTCATTCGGTGTAGCAGATGGCGTGTAAAACGTGTAAAAGAGAGCAGTAGCTGGTGTTATCTGGGATAGTTCTGTGACATTTCTATGTGGAAGCGTGTTAGTAATCAGTGTTGCAGCTGAACTGACTGACTGACATTCCCCGATCCTCAAGCTCTGCGGTTGTGTAGGCCTGAGGTGTAAGACTAGAATTGACAAGTGTCATCCTTCCTGCAGGAGGTACTGTAACAAGAGTGATAAGTTTACCGGTGGATCATTGCAGTGAAACACTTACCAAGGTTGAATACTCTGCCTGTACCCTTTTCGGGAGCTTTCTTTACTGGCCTAGGAGACTGGGTTGCTGAGGGTGGATACATAGGTCGCTGTAAGCCGGGGCTTGGGGAAACAGACGATGGTGGAGTTGATGCCGCATTATTCAAATCTAGAGGTTTGACACCTGGTTTAAAAGGCGTCATAAACTTGTTCTTGACCGGACCACCACGTAAATTTCGCGGTGTAAGGCCCAGTGGTCGAAATGCGCCCCCAGTATTAACCGATGGTGAGGGACGAATAGGCGTTCCTGGCACAGCAGAACTAGATGGAGTCATATGAGAAGATGCAGACGTGAAGCTTTGACGATGAGGATTAAGGGGTGAGTTGACATATGTAGAGGTGGCTATCCCCGCGATTGGCTGTCGTGATGGTACGGAGGTGATCAAAGGATGATTTAAAAGGTTTCTGCTTTCCCTTGAAGTCGCTGACACGAAGCGTCGGTGCGTCAAGTGTTGATCGTGCTGCAGCTTCGAACGACCTGCGAGTAGCCATCGCAGGAGTCGGCGTATCTGGAACTTGAGGTGACAATGAATTGTGCACTGCTCCCAGAACGGTGCGCTGAGGCGAGGATGGTCGTGCTGAGGAAGAGGGCGCAAACTCTCCAGATCTTTGGGAGGAACTCGGATCGTCAATCTCTTCCTGCCACAGCTTAATCTTTTCCTCAGCCTTTCGCAATGCGGTAGTTGATGGCATAATTAGATTCCCTTTTCCGACGGATGTAAAACCTATAGGTGTGCTGTGACTGACAGTCGCCTCGGGGACATTCTCTTTGGTTTTGTCAAGGCGGGACGAAGCAGATTGAAAGCCAAGGAAAGTCGCAGGAGGAGCCGAGGTAAACCACGAAGAGTAATCGATTTCCGGGGGTACCTCGGGTGAAGGTGAGCGGTGTGAGTCATCCGCATTCTGAGTGGGCAAGGCCGATGCAGACTTGAAGCCTACTGGAGGGAGAACGGCAGATGCTTTGGAAAAAGATGGATGTACTACTTGTTTCGTGGCGTTTGAATCAGCGAATGGGTCAGAAGCAAAAGGATTGTTGTCGTCTTGAGAAGCTATGTCCTGAGAAGAGAGCAGTAGGTCCTGATCGGACGAAGTACTACGATCTCCAGCTTCGCCAGGGCTGAGCCTGCGGTGCGAGTTTGTTGGTAGGGGTAATTTGTGGAGTGGAGGAGCTGGCTGAGAGAGGCGCGCTTCTATGGCATCGAAAGCGCTTATATCGTCTTGACTCATGTCATCGACTTGTTCGTCGTAAGTCGGAGAAGACATTCTCATCTTCTTTCTAGGTGGACTAGGAGAAGAATCTAAAATTGAAAAGTCAGTGTGAAGCCTGAAGGGAAGATAATTGAAGTGTCTCACCTAGATTATACATTTTTTGTTACAAGTTACAGGGTTGTTTGGATGTTTGCCATCTACGCGACGCGTCTTGAAATTTGATCACGTGTGGCATTACATCAGCCTCAGTTGTTCCGCTGTGAACCTGGCCATTGATCTAACGTATTGTTGTCCATGCTATATATGTTTTTGTAGAGTCTCCGTAGAATTTTTGAATAATAAAATTGATTTCATTGTGATTGGTTTTGGCTAACTAGCGGCCTATCGGTACGCGTACTGTAGTTGAAACCCAGATATTGATCATCCTCTTAGCTATTAACGCCCGTCGCCAATCCGCGTAGTGCATGACTTTCCGTGTATTCCGTCTTTGAAAATTTGTTGTTAATCACTGGCAATCATTAATCAGGTCTGGCCAAACAAAAAGCATTCAGCTAACCTTCACACTTTCAAAACATTGCTTTCCTAAAGTTCTTCATACCTTGTATCCCTCGCCGACCGCGCAGGTCCACCAGCACGACGTCTGGGGATCAAATACCTATGAACGGTACAAACACTATTCCCAGTCAGAATGCAATAGGTTCGCGGCCAGCCAAACCTCCTCCAACCGGTCTCGCTCCTTCTGCGCCTTCCGTCGCGCCTCCCCTTCTTCCTAATCATCCGAATCCACCCATTCCAAATCGAACATTACCACCTCATTCCAATAACACCGTCGTTAATGGCACTTATACGCATAATCAGAAAGGGAAGAAAAAGAACGATACACCCGTCGATCCTGCTGCTATGTACGAGTCTCTAAAGAGCAGGATCGCTGCTCTGGAAGAGGAGGAGGTGCTTGAGGAAGAGGAGGAGAAGATATTTGGTCCGTGTTCTGCCTCTCAAATACATACACCACTCATCCGTTCATCAGCTGAGGAGGCTGTAAAGTCGGTAAAAGGCATGGAGGAGAATGCAGTCCATGCCAAGTACATCGAACTCGTACGTTATCATTCGCATAGTCCGATATATGCATCTCTCAATCACGGAACTGCAGTTCGCAGAGCTAAAGCGATTGGAACGGGACCATGCAAAGGAAAAACAGAAATTGGTTAAGGACAAGGATGCTGGTACGTACTATTGACCCACTTCGTTCTAAGATACTCATACTCCACTGTATCCATAAAGCAAAGGGTCAACTAACGAAAGCTAACCAGACTAAAGTTAAAATGGAGAATTTGGCACGCGAGCTCCAAAAGGTCAGCAGACTAATGACCTATCTCTATCTTCCTAACCGACTTTTGTGCAGGACAACAAGAGACTACGGGTACGCATTACTGCGCAACGAGGTTCATCCAGTATGCTTACACCGGCCTAGGAGGACAGTAAACGTCTAGCACAATGCATAGAAGAGGCACAGGAAGAGGTGTGTCATTTTTTCAGCTCGTAGCCTCACCAACACTGCCTCCAGATCATGCAAATGAAATCCGACATGGCAAAGCGAGTGGACAAAGCTAAAACGCAAGACGTCAAATATCGCGAAATGCCTGACATCGTCGTGAAAGTAATTTGCCGATATCGAGCTGAACTCTTCTTCAAAATCTCACGCAAGACTAAGTTCTCCCGACTGTTCAATGCGTGGACAGATAGAATGGAGGCGACGGGAGGGAAGAAGGATGAAGGGAAAACATCGGTGAGCGGCAAGCAGATGAATGGCACTGTCAAGTCGGAAGCCGCCAGCACGCACACTGTTGGCTCCAATGTGTCATCCTCGATGCAATTTATCTTCTCCCACAATGGTCGGACAATAGATGCAGACCAGACACCAGAAGAGCAAGGAGTAGAAGACGGAGATGAGATTCTTGCTGTGGAGCTCATGGACCTGACCGAAGGACCCGGCTTAGATGACTTCGTGAGTGCTGACACGAATCGTGTTGGAAACTGAGGGTAAGAGATATACCCATACAGGAAGACCTTCCAGAATCTCGTCGTCAGCGCCTCAGGAAGAACTGGACAGATGATCCACAAGAGTGGGTTCCCTCGCTCTCTTCATTCGCCCAACTAACACTGATTAGCGCCCGGCGGTCATTGGAAGATATCTTTGATGGCGTGTGCGTACCCTATTTTCAAAAATGCTTGCCCACTAAGTTGTGACTATAGCGTACGAGAACGACTGAAGGAAGTTCTCCGACAGTATGAGCTTCGCGAACGACATTTTGAATGCGTCATTCGTTCAAAAGAGCTAGAGGTTCTCCTATCTCGCGCTCGAGCAGCCGAGCAGAAGCAACTGGCTGAGGGGGAGAAGTCCCGTGCCGACAGAATGGACGACGAGGTAATTCAAATTTTATTCATATTTACAGTACATCACCCTCAGCTTTTCTCGATATCAATCCAGAATCAGAATCTCCGAAAGGAGTTGGAAGATGCGCAGAACGGACAAACAATGTTGATCGATAAGCTCATTACCTGCTGCAAGGAGGTGTGTGCATCTATGCCATGCAGCAGTGCGTCTTCGATTTGACGTACTGATACACAGCCAAATGCCGAGCGGACCCAACGCTTATTCGCCTCTCTTCGAGATGAGTTGGAAAAGCGGGGAGCCAAACTTGCAGATGGCGGCCCTGTAGGAGGTTGAACGCCATTATATTTATTGTTCAGCTTGTTTTCTAGGGGATGCGAATCACTACTGATATCAAATGACCGGGTGTACAAGTGAGACGTATTGACTGAAAAACTGAAAGAGGATGTCCATGTACCGATGCGAAAGAGTAGTCGTACAAAAAAAGTCCACAATCCAAACTCGGTTAGAGGTCCATGAAGATATGCTATACCGACTACAAAAGAGCATCGAGCTCCTCGGGGTTTTCAACGTAGCCCGACTTGGTAAAGGTCTTGCCCTTCACAAACTCCAGGCCCTCGCCTGCATAGCTGACACATGGCGAGAGCTCAATTTCCACACCACCCTTGACCTGGGCACCAGCCCTCTCCAGGAACCGTTTGTGCTGAGCAAGCAAGTCGCGACGGCTAGTCTCTGGGTTATCTGCACCACTTCCAGGAGCATTTTTGAGCGGACTGAACTCCTCATTACGTGCAACTTCCAAGACCGCAAAGCGCTTCGTAAAGGGGAAGACGTCAAACACAAACAGCTCAAGCTTCATGCCATTAGGTTCGCTCGGCTTGATTGCTTTCCCAGTCTTCAGATCAACTGTGGGAATCTTCTTGCGAGCGATGTGGAATGCAAGGTCGTCCTCAAACGATTTGACAGATTTGAGATAGCTCGTCGTGTAGAAGTGGTTGGCGATGTTAGCGGCATTGAAAGCCAGCTCTCCAGTCTTGGCGTTACGAAGCTCCGCTTGTTCCTTCGAGATCTCCGAGTATTCGACAACGCTGAACTTTTCTCCTCTACGAGCGACAACACCGACTGCCTCCGAAGAAGAGGCCTTGGGAACAACCTTGGCAGCACAGTCAGCCTGCTTGGATATGCAGTAGCCGAGGAAAACGGGGTCGGCGACTTTGACAAGGCAATTGTCAACGCAGTATGCATGAACGTAGAGAATTCCGCGATCAGTCAAGTCAGAAAGAACTGTTGACTTGCTAGACTCGGATAGAGGTGTGCGTGTAGCGGCATACAACCCGCCGTTGCCGTCAGGAGCGACCGCAATGCGCGATGTATTCTCGAGCATGATCTTGCCTTCCGCAGTCAAGCATGGGAGAGTGCCTGAAGACCCCGGTCAACATAAATAAGTTACAAGGAATAAGTGTTATTACCTTGTTCGAAAAAGACGACGTTCTTTGAACTCAATCCGAAAAAATTATTCTTCGTGAAGAATGCCTCGGTCTCACGACGCGTCGGACCGCTGGTCATGACATACCACGGCACGACGACTGAACCTGCAGCTTTGTTACATTCCTTCTCGGCAACAACTTGGAGGCGAGCGATACGCTCAGCCTGGTACTGGAAGAGACTTTTGTGTGAAGCCAAGCCGATGTCATAACAACCCTTGGGCGCTGAACTGCCCAGACGGGTACCTTGACCACCCGCCATAAGGAGGACACCCACTTCCCCACGGGCGATGGCCTGGAGGCCCTGACTACGCCATGTCTTCTCGCTTGGAGAATCGTTAACGATAGACTCACACGCCTCGACAGGAAGGGGTTCAATAGGCTCGGGGTCGGTAGCGGCTTCCTTCTCAGAGGCGATGGCCTTCTTGTAAATCCTGTTGACGCGATCTACGTCAAGGTTTTCGAGTTGGCGGGAGAGCGATTTGCGTTCGGATTCTTCGAGGGTCGACCAGAAAGTGAATAGGTGGTCGTGGCCAGCAGCCTGGTATCTATCGCGGATATTATCAACAGCCATTCTTTGTTGGAATGAGCTAAAGAAATCGTGATATGCCGTTATTTAACCTACAGAGCTGAGTCATCTGGCTGTCGTCGTGGAAGGTGCCGCGGTTCCTGAGTACTGAGTGCTCGGAAGGAATCGGCACACGTCCCAAATTAGTGTGGGGCATCGGCACCTCCGAGCGCAGTTTAAACTCCGCGATATTAATCAATCCCGTCTCGGACGCGCCTGCCGCCGCCAACTACTTAACATCTCACTGGAATACTTATTTGCTACATGTCCATGCTCCGCCTCATTGGGGGCACGGAGGCTGGATGATGTCATCCTTGAGGCCTCGTGAGGAGGCTAGCATACAAGAATCTGCTCAGGCCCCAGATCAACAAGTCCTTGGTGCTGTTGCAGACAGTGAACAAGCGTGACGAACGTAGAAACATTCATACTTCGCTTGGAGGTCCCAGGCCGGCCCTTTTCCAGAGATGCCCTCAGCAGTGGGTCAGCACACGTCCAGCGGCAAGCCTTTTCCTCCTGACCTCGATTCCCTTTCATCGCTGCGCTACACGATTCGCTCGCATATTTTCTATCTATACCTTACTGTCCGATATGACTTGCAGTCGGTTAGGTCTCAATGTACCTTCGCAAGAATCGAATGTTTCGACAGCTCCTTCTCAAAGCTCTACCACTTCGATCAATACCGGAGCACATGTCGCCCAGTCTCGACATTCCTCGCAGCTCCCTATTTCGCTTCGTTACATTGTCATTATCGCACCGTTGCATATGGGTACTACACTGTCGTGAGCTCGGAGACCGGAATTTTTGGTTCCGACTCGA